GTGAAAAGACTTAGAGATTATCTGCTCTGATTTACAAGTGAGGTCGAGAGGGGTTGAACAAGACTTGTCCATGCTCAAATAACCAAACCCGTGCAGAGGGAGGACCCAAACAACATCCCCTCATCCTGGCCCTGTGCTCCAAACCCCTGTGAGTGGGTGGCACAAATTCTTTTTACAAGATGCCCTGGGTTCAGAAGAGGCATAAAACTATTCCAAGAAAGGGAAACTCTTCTTTCTTTCCAAAGCCATGGCCAGCAGACTACAGGGATCGGCTAGGTATCGTTGGCCTGGCAGAAGTGGTGACAGCTGGTCTTCTCACGCTCTCTTAAACAAGCAGAGGCCTGGGATGCTACAAAAGGGTATCGGACACTGGAGCCTGGACTGAGGAACTGGGCATCTCTCGTCTACATACTTACATTCTATGTCAAGAAGGACAAACTAAGAGGAAGCTTCTTGAGGAGTAATTAAATTAAAACTTCATCCAAACAAGACAGAGAGGACAAATCTGGGGAGGGGCCAAAGGAACAGAAGCTGGGAAAACAAATTAGAGTAGAAGGTTCAAAGGGGATGGTGGATTGGAAAGACATCTACCAAATTAAAAACACAAACATCTCTGGAGAAGTGTCTTGGTCAAAGGTCGTGGTAGAAGGTCGTTTTAGTTTATCTATAGTTGATTAAATTTCTCAGTGACAATGGTCTTGTATATTTATGTTTCACTTGCTATTAAATGAAGTAAAAAATTTTGAAAGGAGAAGAGATAAATAAAAGGTGGGGACAATACCTAGACTTGTGCGAGTTATGGGGAGCTTTTCATCTGGTACTCTGAATGTGGCTCATTGTAAGGTTATTAAGGTCACTGCATCAGTCTAAGAAGTCTTGACAGTCACAGCCCCAGGGGCCAAAGCTACTTCCTCTGTCCTGACCCTGGTGCCCGTAGATCTGCCTTTAAGATGGGGTCAAGAGGTCCCACAGGCCTCTATGTACACTAGGGTTAGTCACCTTAGATAGTCTGAGTCTCCCCAGGTGACTACCAAGCTAGCCAGAAGAATCCACTAATTCTTTCTAATCCACTTATATAGATTCATTGAATTGACTCAATTATAGGCAAGTTTAATAGAAGGGAAAAAGAGAAATAGAGGAAATAGGCCAATTTATTCACCGTCAGACAGAATTAACACCAACAACTTGTCCCATGTTCTTCCTTCTTAGTCCCACCACAGGGGTCCTAGGACCTCTTCTTCAGGTCCTAACATGCTGCCCTAACCATGAATATGACTGGAGATAGTGACCGTGACTGCACTTGGACCGCACTTGACCTTTGATCTTTCTGGACCCCTGCCGAGGCTCATTTCCAGGGGAAGTCTAAGAGGTCAGTTCAGATCCCACAGCATCACCCAAAAAGAACAACACGCCAGCCTCAGCAGGCCTTCCTAGAGACCTGGACTCTACTCTTTTTAGTCCTCTTTTTAGCCCCCTCCTTTTTTGTATTTCCACCCATTGCCCCACCCAACGCACATTTACACTACTGCCTGTCAGAGAATTATCGACTCTTTACCAAACCCTCTCCCTCGAGTCTATTACATCAGAACTCAGGCTTTAATGCTCATTGGCTTACTTAAACTTAAGACCCTTAAGTTCAAGTGGTCAGGTTGTCATTTGGCCAAGAGAAGAAAATGTTTCAGGAGAGAAGGGAGTGTTCCAATAGACAGAGAATTATCCATTAGCTTTGAGGAGGTGTGGGTTGTAACTGGTGCCTAGTAAAATGTTCTGTAAATACTGCACTTTGTGAATGTTAAATCAATAAGTGTCCCCATGCCAGCCTCAGGCACCTCCTTTCCCAATGCAACAAAGCATGTGGCAACCCCTTTGAAACTTCCTTCATTTATTAAACAAATACTTATTGAGCATCTACTGTGTATCAGACATTCACAGTCGCTGGGAATTACAAGACGGGCAGCCTGCATTCGCAGACCTTAGATTTAGTAGGAAAAGTGAGACAAAATAATAGGCAAGTAAATAATACAATTATAGCAAGTTTAAGCAAATTTTATAATTTTAATGCTTAACAAATAAGTAAACATTTTATTTAAATATCAATTAATTTATTAATTAATAATTAACATCTAATATTTTAATAATAAAACAACAGTGAATAATTCAATGTCAAGTATAAGTGCTATAAAGAAAATAAAGTGGAGGATCAGGCCTGAGATGGAGTTGCAGTGGGGTAGATGTTGTCTACCTTAATTAAGAAGCCTGCTTGGAGCGTCTCTTAGTCATCTGAATGCAGAAGAGCCAGCCACATGTGCATCTGGGGTGGCGCACTCCAGGCAAAAGCCCATCTGATACAAAGGTGCTGAGCCTGGCACACATTAACGAAGTTTGAGAGTTTGAGTCCACATGGCTGAGCCCAGAGGAGGAGGCGAGTCAAGGACAGAAGGTTAGTCATGGAAGACCACCTCAAATTGACCTCTCAGGCCATGGTGGCAAATGTGGGTTTCCTTCCAAGAGTGACTAGGAAGCCTTTGGAGACTTTGAAGCAAGACGTGCTATGGTCTGGTTTAATTTTTAAATCAATGTCGACTGCTCTGTCAAAGAGGCTCTAGGATGAGGATGGAGGCAGGTAAGTCAGGTAGCTGTGCGGTCACGGAGGAAACGCTTGATCCAGAGAGATATCTTTGGAGAGGCGGAGAAGAGGCAGGCTGCAATGGGGACAAATTGGACTGGGAAATCTTAAAATACACTGGCCGCCTTCAGGAACTAAGATTTTCCAATGCTTGCACTCCTGTTTAATTTGGTGCCTGAGGGAAGCCTTTGCACTTCCCCACACCTGACCAATCAGAGGGGAATGCAGCGTGCTGAGATAGCTGATTTTCTTGCTTCCCATTTATAGAAATAAACTAAACTCTCATTTTGCTGAAGGGAAATGTAATCATGAAAAAATGAAGGGGTGCTCTTTTCTTCCCTTGCAAACTCCTACGTAGAACCGGTGGTATCTACTATGAAGATTAAATTAAACGCAAAAGTAATCAGAATGTGACCTGAAGGGAAAAAACAATCATAAAGAACTGGTTTCATCCCGCCCAGCTGGGATCTTTGGACCATTCCAGGCACTGGCGCACCTCATTAAACGGCCTCTGTCCCAGCAGCAAAGTGCCGAAAACATGAGTTTATCCCACAGGCATAGAAACACGAAGACGCCTCAGTGCAACGAGACTGCAGCTCCTCTGGTGGGAGCTAAAGCAAACTCTCTTGAGGCCAGAATGGAATTATCAGTTCCCCAAAAGCTAACTCCATCAATGCAATCACTGTGACTGAATCCTTCCCCTCCCACCCGGGAGATAAGACTTCAACCCATCCCTAAATGGTGCAGAGGTTATTCATTTCTGAGCAAGAGCAGACCAAGAGAGGCCTTGGTTACTGCAGAGAAAGCTGTCTGGGAGGCTAAAGTTCCGTGTCGGTCCAGGGTTAGCAAGTGGCAGGACATGCTTCCAACTCCATCTGCAAGTGCACGCTGAAAGATAACCGGCGTCTCGCCGCACTCACGGCCAGCTCTCTATCTTTATTAAAAGGAAGGTTCAAAGAACAGAGGTAGATATGATTTTAGTCTCACAAAGACTCCTGCAGTGTCACGTCGCTGGAAAAGAATTGCATCACCAGCCCACACTGGCATGGAAAGCGTCAGTGTGGCTACCTGGGCTTCTTAAGCTCTGGTTTCAAAGCTGAGCTCACAAAGCTTGGCACCACAATGCAGAGCACCTCAGGTTATGATTACACAAGTTAATCCACGTAAACTGCTGAAAGCAGCACCTGGCACCAAACAAGCTCAATAAAGATTAACCATCATTGCTAACAATGTTTTTCCACTAAGAAATTACTGTATTGTGCGTTTGAGTTTATGTTAGTTTCTCCTTTTACATTAGGAACTCCAAAGCATCTTATTTGTCTCAAGCATCTCTGAGCCTGGAACTGTGCTAGGCTCAATAAAAGTTTGTGGTTTGAAATGAAATATTTACTCAGGAGTGATAGAAATGAAAAGAGGGTGGGGAAATAAAAAGCAGATGAAATCTGAATTTCCTTTACCTCTTCATTATATTATCTTCTATTTCTCCATAACAATCTCTCAATTTTGCTGCTGTCAATGACATGTCCGCTGCTTGGAATGGTTCCAGTTGTGCCTCAGTGGAACCAGTGACACAGCTCAAGCTCAGTCAGTTTTGATATTGCCTGGACCCCCAAGAAGGAATTGAATATCCCAGAGGATACACAGAAGGGCACAACCTCAAGTAATATGAACAGATTTATTTCAGAACTCTACACTATTGCCTCCAACAAGTGTTTCTTAACAGATGGGGAACCGATAATCATAATAGTAAAAAAAAAAAAAAAATTACGCCAGCATTTGTGGAGCACCTAATATGTACTATGCTAAACACTTTCCCATATCACAACATTTAATCCACTCAACAAAACAAAATATGTGCTCTGTTATTCTCAAACCAAACCACAGAAAAGTCACAATGAGCTACTGGCTTAAGGGCATACCACCAGTAGGAAAATGTTGAGATTCAAACCCAAGCTCATAGCTCTCCAAAACTCACTCATGTAACTACTCAAGCCTGCAATGGCCTCTGACCATATACCCCCGATCTGAAGCAAACAGCACAGGACGTGTTTTCTGCAGAGCAGGGTGCAGTGTACTTTCTGTGTCCCTGTCTTTGTTGTCTCCAAAACACGGCACGGCAGCCCAGCACGTCTCATCTGCTTTTTACCTGTCCCCGGAGACTGCCACACTTAACACATGCTTTAAAGTGTGACCGCCTGTGGTTTGTAACTTATGCCTGAAGCACTTGCTCCTATTCTCTTTCCTGGTGGAACAAAAGTATGACTGCTACAGGTCTCTGAGGCAAAGCATGTATTGATTAGTCTCATCAATATTCAACATCTACTTGGACTTTTAATCCACTCCTTACTTGCCTTGCTCCTCCTCCTCTAAACTATAACCACTTAGGACACCAGGAAAAGACAGGCAGGAGCCAGCCAGCTGCATGTGCCCCACTCACTACAGGACCTGGAATTAAGAGGAGGACTCTGACACCATAAAATGACAGATCAGGTAAAGCAGCCTTATGTTCATTTTGCATCATTTTTGAGAAAATGAATAGGTAAAGTTTTCAAGTCAGTGAGCATAGGGAGGGTTTGGGGCAGTGTTAGGTATAGCTACCACAGATCAAAGCTACTTCTCTTGCCAATTGATAGTTCATTTTTGGTGCTAAAAAGTCATATTTCTTATTCAGTAATTAGGAGTTTAAGGATATTTGCTCTGTTTTCTGACTAGTCTATGTAACTTCTTCTCAAATGATTCTGCATAACCATATTACCTAGGAATGTGTTTGGTTTTTTTTTCAAAAAGGCAGATTAACCTGAATCTAACTAATTGTGAAAACTGGTGTGAAATCATCAGAACTGCCAATGTATGAAAAACTAGAGCTAGAAGGACTGTTCTAGATTAAAGAAAACTAAGAACTGACAACCAAATGCAACAAGTGCTCCTAGATCATGGAAAGAAGAAAGCAGCTCTAAAGGAACAATATGGGGACAATTGGGAAATTTTGAAAATGGGCTATTAGATAATATTTGTATATCTAATACATTATTGGATATGATAATGGCATTATAATTATATAGGAGAATGTCTTTATTCTTAGTGCATACATGCTGGAGAGTTTGGGAGTGAAGTGCCACAAATATCTTCAACTTACTTTGAAATGATGCAGACATAACAACAACAATGCGCACACAAACACACAATGAGAGTTAACCAAATGTGCTGTTAACCATTGGTCAGTGCAAGTGAAGGTTAAGGGAGTGTTCACTGCGCTACTCTTTCATCTTCTCTGTAGATACAAATAAGGCTTTTCAAAATAAAAACTTGAAAATAGAAAGAGTATAGTACCACTGCTCCTTTATAAGCCCCCCCCCCCACAAAATGCACCCACCCCTATACACAATCATGAAACAGGTAAATCTGTGCCCCTCTTAAAGTAGGATCTCTAACCTCTGATCTGGTATAAACTACTCTGCTGAGCATTTCTTTATGTCAGTAATAAGGCTGGATGCACACACTGGCTTCGAGGTGTGGTATTGCTGCTCACCTGCTCTGATACCAGGATTAAGTTATTTAATTTAGTTTGGGTTTCTTTATATTGTGATAAAATAAGAACATATTGGGATATAACATAGTATATTCTGGATTATAATAGTTCTTTACGATGAGAGAATAATTAAATAAGAGACTCAGATGACAAACATTTTAAAGTTAATAGATGTATATTTATATAATATATATTTAAAAAATCATTAAGACATCATGATTTCCCATTATAGCCCAGGATAAAGCTAGAGCAGTTATAATTTTGAAAATAATGTAAAGACAAATATTAAGTAAGTAACTATATAGGTGATATATAAGTTTGGCAAAAATCATGAAGGTAGTGTTCAAATAACTGAAGTTTGAAAGATGCTGCAAAACAGAAGATAATGTGCTTATCACACTGCCTGGCACATAGCAGATGCTCAAGCTTCATTCAGAGCTATCATTGAATTCTCTTTGGCTGGAGGTTAGAAATTATGTCGTAGGAATGTATTTGAGCACTGAGGGCTTGCCTAATAATGGAACCTAGAAGGAATGAAAACTGATGTAAAGCACAATGTTTCAGCTTTGTGAATCCACCCAGACTTGGAAAGAAGGGGGATAAGCATGAAAGGAAGGGTCAGAAGACTGGGCCCTCACATTGGACGTGCTCAGTAATCACTGTGCGACTCAGACAATAGATTTGAACTCAGCTTCTTCACCTGAAAAATGAAGAGATTTGACTAGAATCCATTGGTATCTAGGGTCTCTTTCAGCTTGAAAATTTTATAGCTTGAGAAGCCCCCAGCTTTTTCCAAGGGTTGGTGCAAGACCGTCTTTGGGGTTGGCATTTGGAAGCGTGTGATTTAGAGGAAAGAGTATGAGGTTCTCCTTCCTATAGCTGCTGATAATCTGCTTTTTTATTTAGCAGTGAAAAGTTAACATCAGCTTGAAGCTTTAGTTCTAATAGAATACCTGTTACTTACTTACTGGCTGTGTATGTGGGGCATACCGCTTAATCTCTGAGTCATGGCTTCTTCACCTGTAAAAATGACAATAGTTTGTGTACTTTATAGTACTGTTGTGAAAATTATTGGTGATGCATGAAAAGTTGTCAGGTGGTTGTTTGGCAAGAATGATGAATGAGATGACAATGATGTGAATAAAGAGGCAGTTGTTTTATAGCCCTTTCACTATTTCTCGGAAGACCACATTACATATCTTATTTTGTCAGTATAATAATACTGTGCATTAAGGAATATTATGCCCATTTGGGGGAGCAAATCCTTATTCTACAAGTTACTGGCTTTGAGACCTTAACCTAGCCTAGTTATCTATAAAATAAAGGTATTAATGGTACTGTCACGAGTAGTGTGGTAGGCAGAATAATGGTCCTCCAAAAAAGTCTGCAACCTCATCCCGAAAACCTTATATAGCAAAACGTCTATAAGGTAACATAGTCACAGGTTTTTATGACTTTATATTCACAGGTTATATGACTTATAAATATCATTGAGGTTACAGACCTTGAAATGGGGAGATTTTCCTGGATTATCCAGATGAGCCAAATCAAATCCCATGAGTTCTTAAAAAGGGAGACCTTTCCTGGCTGTGGTCAGGGTCAGGGAGATGCAACATGAGGACTTGGCCTCCCCATTTCTGGGTATGAAGATGGAGGAAGGGTGCCACTAGCCAAGGAATGTGGTGGCCTCTGGAGCTGGGAACGGCCCTTGCTTTACAGTCAGCACTAAAACACAAACCTTGTTCTACAACCACAAGGAACTAAATTATACCATCAACGCAAATTTTCCCCTACAGCCTCTGGAAAAGAACACAGCCCTCCAACCCCTTAATTTCAGTCTGATGAGACTGGCACTAGCCTTCTAACCTACAAGAACTATACAATAGTAAATTTACGGTAGTTGAGCCACCATCTTGATGGTTGTTTTTAACAGCAGGAGAAAACTGACATGGCTATATGAGACAATACACTTACAGCAGGGAACAAGCATCCAACAGGCATGTTCACTCTCAGGCCCTGAAGTTGTGTTTGCATTGCACCTAACATCAGATTGTCCAGCTCCCCGTGATGGGTATTACCAGGGAAGTGAGTCAAAGCGCTCTTGAGGCGTCCCCTGGTCTCCTCCCTGCGGATGATGGTCACTACCTGCAAACAGGATGAAATTCCCAGTCCTTGGAAAGAGCTGAAGGGGAAAAATCATCTAAAGAGAAACTACCAACACAGTGAATAGAATCCCATCTTAATTTTGGCTGCCTGAACCACTGAGTTTTGGAGGTCTACTTACATTTTAGGACTAATACATACGTTATATACCATGTTGTATATGTGTGTGCAAGCATGTGTGTACCTGCACATTTTACATATAATATATTTTTAAATTTATTAACAAATATTGTGTTACCATTTATAAATAGTTATATGTATATATGCACATGATTTATATCTAATATATACTGTATATGATATTATATATGCTTCTTTGTGTGTGTGTGTATGTACATATATCTACACTCCATATGATCATATGTTAGGGATCAGATCTGAAGTCCTCTCAGGGAAGGAAGCTGACGGGAGGGAAAGTCTACATAGGTGTCACCTGCAATTAATTCTGAATTAGTGGAGAGAGGGAGCAAACCTACAGATTCTCAGTTGTCACCCCAGAATTCCAGTTCAGTAGCAGGTTGGGGCTGAGGGCCCGGGAGCTAAACATATTATACGCTCTCCAAGTAGAGTCCGGTCTTAGAGCCTCTGGACTAACTTCAAAGGCTCTGACGTTCTGCAATAATGCTTTGTTGATGACACTGACCTTTCTGATCTCCAGACTGATTGGAAAATGAGGGGTACTGGTTAATTAACTATTTTCATGCTGTTATAGGAGGATTTACAAGCATTCCTCAGTTTAGATAAAAACTGAAGCTCCTATTGGGGAAGTGGCTCGGGTCACATACCCACTGAGCATCAGAATGGGAACTGAAATTCATGTTGCCATAACTGTGTCCCATTTATTGATTTTAAAATTTTAAATTATATAATTATGCATGGAATCGTTTCCTTATTAAATGTCTAATATAAATAAAAGAAAAAATACTCGTTTACTCCTCTTCTCCAATCTCACTTCCCTCCTCAAATATCATCATCTTATTTGTTTTTCAAGAAAATATTCTATGGTTCTCTCCACTGCCATGGCCGCAGACTCTGCCATTTATGGACCCAGCAGCCTGAAGAAAAAAAAAGAGAGAGAGAGAGATAAAGACTTTTAAAACCCGAAAAATTTTTTAAATATGGAAAAAATAAGAAAAGCGAATCTTCCTTGGAAAACCTGGGGAAAGTCATTTTTGCACGCTTCCAGCTTGCCCGCTGGCCGCACCCGGGCGTCAGTCGCTGCCCTCTGTCGGTCAGGTAGCGAGCGGCTCGAGTCCGCGCACCTCCGCTCCAGCAGCCCGTTCGTGCCGCGCGGAAGCCCCGCGCGCCGGCCTCCCCGAGCACCCGCGGCCCCGCGTACCACGTATCCGCGCTGCCCTTTTCCTCTGGCCAGTCGGCATGGACACGTGTTTTGTAACCCTCTTCCCTGGATGCCGTAATGGTAAACCGCCAGGATCGCGCGCCTATATTTATAGAGAAATGTGTGTCCGGGGGGCCATCTGGGCACCATTTGGTTACCCCTTTAAGAATGTTTATAATTTGGAGGGAAACTTCCATTTTAATAAATCTCTTTTTTGAAATGTGGCGCTTCAGACCAGGACAGCTGAAAATTGCCAACTCTCAGGGAGGGCCATGTTGTTTTTGCCTTTTGCCTGCGGTCTTGGTCTCGAATGAGACTTCCAGGAATGCCCTGTCCCCTCTCGTTTCTGAGCCTACTCCAGCTTCTCAGCTTCACTCTGCCACCTGTAAGCCGCAGCGCGGGCGCGGGCCCGGGCTCAACGAAGAGCCCTTTTTTGTCCTGTGTGGTCTCTATAGAGTCCTCCTGGCTAGGTCGGGGGTGGTGAGAGCACAGAGAGGAAGGCTGCTGCCAGCAGTTACCCCATTGTCTCCCTGTACGTGGGTGACCTGCTCCCAGACCTGCCCCTGTCGCTGAGGTCATGCTGTATGAAAAGTTCAGTCCTGTGGGGCCTGTGCTGTACATCTGGGTCTGCCGCGGAAGGATCACCGGCCACCCCCTGGGTTCTGCCCACGCCAGCTTCCAGCTGGAAGACTCTGAGCGGGCTTTGGATACCATGAGCTTGGATGTGACTCAGGAAAAGCCAATCTGCATCATGTGGTCTCAGAAGGATCCCTCTTTGAGAAAATCTGGTGTGGGAAACATCATCAAGAACCTAGAAAAATCTGTAGATAACAAGGCATTTTATGATGCTTTTTCTGCTTTTGGAAAAATTCTGTCCTGCAAGGTGGTGTGTGAGGAGAATGGCTCTAAGGGTTAAGCCTTTGCTCACATCAAGACTCAAAAGCCTGCAGACAAGGCAAAGAAATGAATGATATGTTCCTCAATGACTGCAAAGTGTTCATGAACACATTCAAGTCTCAAAGAGAGGTGGAAGCTGACCTGGAGCCAAAGCCAAAGAGTTTACCAGTGCGTATACCAAAGACTTCAAGGAAGAGGTGGATGATGAGAGTGTAAAAGTGCTGTTCAGCCAGTTTGGTAAGGCCCTGAGTGTCAAGGTGACGAGAGGTCTCCGTGGGAAATCCAAAGGCTTTGGCTTTGTGAGTTATGAAAAACACAAGGATGTCAATAAGGCCGTGGAAGAGATGAATGGAAAAGAAATCAGTGTGAAGGTCATTTTTGTGAGGCGTGCTCAGAAGAAAAGTAGAAAGGTAGACCAAATTAAAAGAGAAATTTGAACAGCTGAAACAAGAGAGAATTAGTCAATATCAAGGGTGAAGCTTTATAGTAAGAACCTGGATGACACCCTTGATGATGAGAAGTTAAGGAAAGAGTTTTCTCCTTTCAGATCCATCACCCAAGCTAAGGTAATGCACAGGAAGGGAGAAGCAAAGGGTTTGGCTTGTGTGCTTCTTGTCTCCTGAAGAGGCAACCGACCAACCAGTATATGCAGCAAGTAGCAGGAATGAGAGCATTCCCTGCCAATGCCATCTTAAATCAGTCTCAGTTTATAGCTTATGGCTGCTTTGTGCTAGCAGTTCCGCAGGCTCAGGAAAGACCTCCATATTATACACTTAAGCAGCTGGCATAGATGAGGCCTCATCCGTGCTGGCAGCAAGGTGGAGACCTCACAGCTTCCAAGGAATGCCCAGCACTCTACGCCAGTCTGGGCCTCGTCCAGCTCTTTACCATCTGGCTCCAACTGGTAATGCCGACGCCTCTCATGGCCTCTCTACTGCTGCTCACAGAGTTGGGTCTGAGAGTCCGGATCATTTGGCTATGGACTGTGGTGGGGCTGGCGCCACCCAACAAGGGCTGACTGACAGCTACCAGTCTGGAGGTGTTAACAAGCTGTGCCGAACTTAGCACTTTGTGCTCCCGTGGCGGCTGCTGTCCCTTGGGCTATTGCACCTTTCAAGTACTCCTCCAGTGTCCACAGCCTTCACTGTGCCATGCCATTTTTGCAGGCACTCCAGCCTGCAGTGTGTATAGAGGGGCAGGACTCCCTCCATGCTGGCCATAGCACCCCACCAGGAGCGGAAGCAGATGCTAGGAGAATGTTTGTTCCCGCTTACCCAAACCATGCGTTCAAACCTGGCCAGAAAGATTATGGGAATGCTGCCAGAGATGGACAGCTCCGAGCAACTGCACACGCCGAAGTCCCCGAAGTCTCTCTGCTCTGGGGTGGATGAAGCCGGGGCAGTTCTATAGGTTCAGCATGCCAAGAAAGAAGCTGCTTTGAAGGTGGGTGCTGGTACTGCTGCTACCTCTTAGGCAAGGAAATAAACAATGCAAAACCCAAAGAACCCCTCATGGAATTCAGCTCAAGGTTTGAAGACTTCCTAGCTTGTTCTATGGACCGCAACACCAAAAACCACAAACTGCAAATTTAATAGGTCATTTTGTATCAAAAGGTCAATTGGAAAACATTTAGAATTTTTTCTGGGAGGAATACCTAAGGCTCTACCCCTTACAATGTAACAGGTGGCCAAGACAAAGAAATATGACCCTAATGAAGGAACAGAACAAAACTGAAAAAGAACTAGGCGATGAGATTAACAACCTGTCTGATGCTGAGTTCAAAACACTGGTAACCAGGATGCTCACCGAATTGACTGAGCTGAACTGCAAAATGAGGCAAGAAATGAAGACTATACAAAATGAAATAAAGGAAAATATACAATGAACCAACAGTGAAGGGAAGAAAACTAGGGCTCAGATAAATGATTTGGAAAAAAAGGAAGAAATAAACATTCAACCAGAATACAATGAATAAACAAGAATTCAAAAAAATGAGGAGAGGCTTAGGAACTTCGGGGACAACTTTAAATGCTCTAATAGCTGAATCATAAGGGTGTCAGAAGGAGAAGAGGAAGAGCAAGAAATTGAAAACTTCTTTGAAAAAATAATGAAGGAAAACTTCCCCAATCTGGCAAAGGAAATAGACTTCCAGAAAGTCCAGGAAGCCCAAAGATTCCCAAAGAAATTGGATTCAAGGAGGATCACACCAAGACACATCATAATTAAGTCACCCAAGATTAGAGATAAGGAGAGAATCTTAAAAGCAGCAAAATAAAAAGAGAGAGCTACCTACAAAGGAGTTCCCCGTAAGACAGTAAGCTGATTTCTCAAGAGAAACCTTATAGGCAAGGAGGGGCTGGAAAGAATTATTCACAGTCTTGAAAAGCAAGGACCTACAACCTAGATTACTCTCTCCAGCAAAGCTATCGTTTAGAATGAAAGGGCAGATAAGGTGCTTCCCAGATAAGATAAAGTTAAAGGAGTTCATCATCACCAAGCCCTTATTATATGAAATATTAAAGGGACTTATTTAAGAAAAAGAAGAAAATCTAACTTATGACTGGTAAAATGACAACAAACTCACAACTATCGATAACTGAACCTAAAAAAAAAAAAAAACATAAACAAACAACTAGAACAGGAACAGAATCATAGAAATAGAGATCACAAGGGAGGGTAATCAGTGGGGCAGGGGAAGGTAGAGACTGGGGGGAAAAAGTACAGGGAATAGGAAGGATAATTGGTTGGTACAAAATAGACAGGAGGAGGTTAAGAATAGTATAGGAAATGGAGAAGCCAAAGAACTTATATGCATGACTCATGGACATGAACTAAGAGGGGGGAATGCTGGAGGGGACGGTGCAGGGAGGAGGGAAATAAAGGGGAGAGAAAAAATGAGACAACTGTAATAGCATTGTTACGGAAAGCCAGACTCAAGACACGATTCAGGGAACGGAGTAAGCCTTTATTCACACGCGCGGGCTCAGAGGAGGCAGTCTCTAAATTCTGAGCCCCGAATCGGGGTTAGATAGGGGTTTATAAGCCCTAGCATTCCGGCGGGAAACGGATGGGCTTCCCAGGTGGGGGAAGGGATTAGCATTCCGGTGGGAGATTGATGAGATTGATGTGCTACCCAGGCGGGGGAAGGGATGTGAAAACGGGCTACAGAAGCAGATAAGCAATGATTAACAGTTGACCTGGGAGGGGGTCTCTGGCTAGGCTGCTCCTCTTAAGTCATCTTGCCCTTATCAGCATAATCAAAAAAATATACTTTTAAAAATCTCCAAAAACAGAAAAATATATATTGTATGAATTATAGACAACATGAATAAATCAAAGATTACTCAGATTTAAGCCTTTAAAAAACATGAAGAGTACACAACTTCCTTCGTCACTTAACAAGTACATGATCACGTTATTCTTTTTAACTGCTGCATAGCATGTTGGATGTATCTGATATATATGTATGTATATGTGTGTGTATGTATGTATGTGTATATATATATCATGATGTATTTGAATCTATTTGGCCACTTCCCATAGAGTGATATTAGGTTCTTTCCGTAATTTTTGCTATAAAACACAAATAAATGCACACACAGAACACTGTATCAAATATCCTTATGTGTGACTCAGTATGCGTAACACGATTTCTCTTAAATAGTTAGGCATGTAATTATGTGTTGAAAAGGATAAATGCTCTGCTTCTTTCTACATTTTTGTTTTTGTAGCTACAGGGAGTTGCAGGGAAAATAATATCCTTTAACCCACAACTGTAGGCTCAACTAGATAAAATCCTGAAAGTATTACCTGGATATTGATGTGGGTCATTATAAAGACGAGTTGATGCCCTTTGCATAAGTTTTGAGGTATTTTTGCACCACAGCAATGTCCTGGAGCCCTTCATCGCATTGTTGTTGCTGTCTTACTTTCTCTCATTGATATGAATGGCTGTTTTTATCTTAGCCGTTTCCTTCAGTCAGGAACTATTCTAATTCTCAATTCTGATTTTGGATCAAGTGTATATCTACAGGGCCTGGCAGAAGTAACACCTACTTGACTGTGATTGGTAGGGTAGGGTAATAGTATGGGTGGAATAATTTATAGTTTTAATTTGAATATTTCGCCTAAAATGTCATATGGTGTGCTTAAATGTGATATTGTTATGGTACAGAATTACATGCTTATGTGTTTGCAAAGATTTTGTAATAAAAAGGGATGTTATTTGTGCGAGACCCTACACACACACACACACTTTTGGTTCCTTCCCTGGAAGAAGCATCCCAACTCTTCTCAACTTCAGCAGTGTAGGAGAAATAATGAATAGCTCTTCCCTTCTTGTATAAGTGACTCTGCCAGGAGCACAGGGCTCACTGTGAGTATCAAGGCACAAGAATGAGACGGCGGAGCCTGTCAAAGTCCACGCTGGGGAGTGATGGCAGGTGGGTAGCTGAGCCTGCCTGTTGTTTCCCAACCTGTGTTCCATTCCCCACAGGTCACCGGGACCTTGGTTTTCACAGTCCTCACTGCCGTGCTGGGTTCCTTCCAGTTTGGATACGACATTGGTGTGATCAATGCACCTCAACAGGCAAGTGAATCACGTACAATTCAAATCTTTTCCTGGAAATTTCTGTCAATGACACAAAGATATGTGTTTCTCATACAGAGAAATAAAGTGTGTCCGTATGGGGAATGTGGGATAATCCCAGCCTTCTGTCAGGTATCATGTGTGTGGTTCCAGGGCTTGTAACTTGGCTTTGACTCCTCTTCACTTGATAATCCTCAAAAGAAAATAAAGAGCAATAAGTAATTCTTGGTCTTTGACTGTTTTTTGCTAAACCCACAGGGAAAGAAAAAACTTTAACCAGAATACCATGTGCCTTAGGATTTTTTTTTAGTTAATAACTTATTGCAGCATTCATTCAGACTCTCCGCCATATACAAATGAAAATGCCAGGGAATAAGAGGAAACTACAGAAGGATATGTTTCATTCTGTGCACAAGCATTTACTGAGCACCAACTCACTTTGCATCAGTAACTTTAACATATGATCTCCCCAGTCTGACCCTCCCAATAGTCTTACACTCATTTCTAGGCCAGATTAAAACCTTTAGGAACATTAACACTAAAGAAGATTCTAGTCCTTCTCTGCATTCCTGTCTTCTATAGGTGCTTCAAAATAAAATAATACAGAACTTTTAAATTAATGGTCAAGAAGTTCCACAACATTTGGATTTTTTTCCTTAATGACCATTTGGATGGGTATTTCAAAAAATATCAAATAATTTCCATCATTTTTCTCATTTATTTGGTGCATCCCTACTCTGGTGACCAGAGAATAAATAGACAGGAGAAGGATGTCATTTTTCTCAGCTCCCACAGCCTGAAACTGGTGGGGAGAAACCAGGACTTGACTCCCTCTGGCCCAATTCACTCTGTCAGGTCACTTAGTGTGGGATTGATGTCTTGTCCCTCTTCCTATCACCAATACCCAGCACAACGATTGGTGTAAATAAGTATTTCAATCACATGTTTAGTGAAGGAGAGAGAGAGAATGAAAGCTTTGGGAGAAGGCTGGCATAAGGTGAAAGTACAAACTTTTGTGGGGTGCCTTCTACAAATCAATCATATTTTATCTGCTTCTTTTACACTATTGGACTCCAGGGAAAATGTAAGATCCTGCAGGGTGTGAATGCGGGAAATGTGTGCTCACCAGTTAGTTCAGCTCTTCAAATGAGTTGTTCCTTGAACCAAAAGATGTGCTCTGGTTCGGTGCCACACGTCTTCATGACTGTGGCAGACCTCGCTGAGGTAGAGATATTGAGGAAATAACGCTGTGGGGCAGTGTATCCTTTTTTGTGGGTGATGACAACATGTGCCAATTGAACAGGTTTCCTGAAATTTGGCTCAATAACTCCGTAACTGGTAGAGCCTCTTTTTGTGGAAGACTGTTTCTAATCCTTAAAGCATCCTTTCTAGTCTTAGAGGGAAACTTAATCTAAGGTTTCCTCTCCTTTGATCACAGTCTTAGAACCAGACCTGAAGACAGGGATTCCCCACTGACATCTGGGCTCAGTGACCTCTCTGTAACCCCTTCCATTAAATACGGTTGCATAGGAAGAGTCACTCAGGACCATTTGTTTTTGTGAGCAGAATGACATTTGGGATTATTTTAAGGTATTTATAAATCACACTTTCTATGATTATGAAAACTACACACGCCTGTTGCAGAAAGTATTAGAAAAAAATCACCCATAATTATTCTATCACGTGGAGCAGACTGCTGAGAAAATTTTCGGTATTTCCTTACAGCCGCTTTTCTATGTATGAGTATATTATCCATATAGCATGACCTTCTAATGAGGCAAATGTCTTGGTCAGACTTCTTTTACCATAAGAGGATGTCAACTCTTCCCCTCACACAACTGACTTTTGTCGCAGAGGGCAACGCATTGCGGGGAGCACTGTGGAGGAGCGCGTGGCTCCTGGATCTGAGGGTTACTGTCTGGAGCCAGCTGAGGAGGGAGTAGGGCTCTGAATCCCATAGAGCCTGTCCGGGGGTTGTCGTGGGTGGGAGGAATAAACACGAGTCATCTCAAACACTGCTCTGTTTGGCAGGAGAGGGGACATGGCTCTTCCCTCTAGGGGAGAGAAGGTCCCGAACCCCCTGTGTCCAAAGGATTTTATCGAGAACCAGATGCACAAGGGTAGGGGTCAAAGCTCATCAATCAATGTCAAAAGGCTATGTTTACAGAAAACAAATAGAGATCATAGGTAACAATTCAGGAACACAAGAGATCTGCCTCAGGTCAGGGTCTATGAATAATGTAAATCTCCTTCCCAGTGTGAGCCAGTTATCATAGCTTATGAGGGAAGAATAAAGCATGCTCCAAAGAACTTACTTCTAGGCCTGATTGTCCCCAGGAACTGCCCGATCCAGTTTAAAGCTATACCTGCCTTTAGTATTATTTCAAGCCTGAGCCAGGCAAGCAGGGCAGAACCACCAAGAGATAAGGAGACTTCTTTCAGATAGAATGAGGACACCGGCCATGTCCAAACCGAGCCAAATGGTGTGGGCCTTTTTGTCCTTTCTCCATGTCCCCCCAAGTCCTTGTCTGCTGCCCATACCAGCCAATGTCTGGCTTAGGTTTTCTCTCCTCACGAGAGAACTTACCCATCATCAACAACCGACCATCACAGGGCCACGCAGGGTGATGTGAGGGAGGCAGGGGCTGCACCCCTGCCAGGGGGACAGGTTTCGTCTCCCCTGTGTCCTGTTTTCCCAAGGCCTCCTTGATTATTTCCAGCCTTGGGGCCCTCTTGCCTGTCAGCGAGGCTACAGTCCCTGAAACCAGACAGGGTCTTTCCCAACAGACTTTCCCACATAGGACTTCACCCATGACTGGCAACCTGGGGCAACTGAGTTCCAGGTCCTTGTCAAAGGTCTTCCCCGCTCGTTGCTGCTCAACAATGACCAAATTGCCATTGAGAGAAATGACGTGATGGAAGAGAGCCTGAAGGATGTGCCTTTTCTTCATTTGACTTTCATATAGTCTTTGGCTCTATTGAAACACATTATTAAGTATGGCTCTGGGAAATTTAGTTTTGAACATTGTTCATTCTATTACACACCAAACTCCATGAGAACCCAGAGGTTTTAACACCTTCTCAGGGGCCACTAAGTATTTTTAATCTTTGGAATTCATCAATGTACGTGACTGTTTTCCTCTCTACCCATGGGCTGCTAGAAAGTTTATTGCTAAATTATAGCTCACTTCTAGCAAGATACAGCACCTACTGTTTGAATTTTGTATAATAACTTTATTTTGGGTCTCATCTTATCTTTACCAAATTTTTTAAATATCACTTTTATGTTTCCATTAAAATATTTACGTAAGTCAATTTAAATCCTGTTGTGTAGGAGTAACACTGGTGTAGAAACGTATCTTTTTAGCCTGCAGGGTATTTTCAATTTAAATAGTAGACAACTATTTTTGTCTACTATTTTTTTACATACATTTTTTTAATTTACATAAAATTTTTACATAAAAACCCATATATCCAGCTTCTTTTTAAAAATGAAACATCATCAACACCAGTCTCATGTTTGCAGCTTCCTCCTTCAGATGGGACAAATGCTTTCTAGTGCTATGATCCTGCTTACTTGCTGTTATACCCTCAATAGTAAAGAAGGTATTTCAGTCCTCTTATTCTCTAATCAAGGTTCTCCTTCATTTATTTGTTCCTGCTTCCTTCCTGTTGGCACTGGAATCTGTGACCTCTGTTTTATAGGATATGGCCAACTATAAATAAATCCATAAGTGTATGTGTGTAAGGCACATAATTGAGATGATCCTGTTTAAATACCTAACAAATATTTTAAAGAAGAAAAACTAACGAGCAACATAGAACTCGAGACATAGAAACATGAAACAGACTGACAGCTGTAAGAGGGGTGGGAAGAGGTGGGGATTGGTTGAAAGAAAATGAAGAAATTCGTCAAAGAACATACGTGAGAGACCCTGCACATGTACAGTGGTGTGGGGGGCCGGCTGGGTGGAGCGGGCAAAGGGAAAATAATTGGCACAACTTTAATAATATAAACAATAAAGCATTTCAATTAAAATTTTATGAAAATAAAAAAACATAAAAATTTATTAAATGTTTGAAATATTGGAGTTATTTTTAAATTTTATTTCCTCAGGTAATAATGGCCCATTATAGACATGTTTTGGATATTCCACTGGATGACCGAAAAACTATCAACAACTATGCTATTGACAGTACAGAGGAACTGCCTACAAACCCAGTCGTAACAAACCCAACACCAACTGTTTGGACTGAAAAAGAGCCTATGACATCTTCTGGCCTCGTCACCATGTTCTGGTCCCTGTCTGTGTCCAGCTTTGCAATTGGTGGAATGATCGCGTCATTCTTTGGTGGGTGGCTTGGGGACCAGTTTGGAAGGTAAGCAAATTTCATAAATAAACGTAAACACAGAAACTTTAGTATTTTCGGTTTATTAGAATTGGTTTAGAGAGAAATCACCTTTCTTTTTGTGGAATAGTTTTAGAATTGTTTTTTTTCAATATGTGACCCTATGAGTTAGGTTGGTGTTGAAACAAATAATGGGAAAAGCTGTTGCACCAATCTGCTTAATTGTGGAGGCATTTACAGAAAAAGTAAGTTTGGTGGGAAACCACCTTGGTTCTTGGTTTCTAAGTTATAAAACATATTTAGAAACCCCCAAACAACTGATTAACTCAGGAGCACAATGGAAGAGCCAAGAGTAAAATTTTTAACCAGGAAGTCCATTGTTTGCTTCGTCAGATCACTTCATTTCTCAGACATCCAGTTTTTCATCTTCAAATTAGAATTTGGCATTTGTATCAACCAGGTCCTAAGATCAAGTTAATATTCCCCAATCCCCAAATGTTGAGTACACTTTACATGGGTTTTATAGCTGCTGCTACTGCTATATCAAACCTCAACCAAAGATGAAGCCGGTAGTGTCTCCATTTCTCTACTCTGGTTTCTATGAGGTGTTTTGGATTAAAAACATCAGTAGAACTCCTTTACACTCAAATTTTACTTAGTCATGTGACATACTGAAGTTTCTTGGGATCCTCTCATCTTCCATAAAGAGGAAAACAATAAATTAAAAGATCACGTGATTATTTCTTTAAATGTGTTTTCTACTCGTTAAGCTCACCTTTTGTTTACTAGTTATCTTTTCCTGGTGATGAAAATAAATTTATATATAAAGATGGAAAATTTAAAAAATTCAAAAACTTTTAAAAATCTAAATGACATAGGCTAAGATGCAACTGTCTTAGTAATTCTGGATCACACTTTATTTAGTTTTTAAAATTCCTACTTTAAATTATAATTTTATCCCTCTGGTTATTAAAATTCTGATAATTCCTTTCTCTTATACTAGAGTTTTACAACTAGAGGTCTATAATAAGACTGCAAGAAATTTTCTTAAGTAATGAGTAGTAGCATGGGGACCCGAGTTTTATTCTTTTCTTATTTGAAAGGGACTTCCATCTACCATAAAAAAAAGATCAATTCCTCATATTTTATCAACTTACTAATGTTTAGCTGAGCTTTAAATTGGAATTTATAAATTACAGAGTTCATAAACTGACCCTCATCTTTTAAAAAAAATTAAATCACTTTATTTTGTACCAAACTGGTTTAAACAGTAACCAGTACCTGGAAATTTTTCTAGATTATTTCTAAAATAAATAAAATTAATCAAAATAAAATTAAATTTTAAAATATGGACAAACTAAGTCTTTTAGCAGCTACTGATGTTTTATACTTCTTTCTCTCCCCGAGAAGAAATTTGAGCCCTTGCTATCTCTCATTTAGAAACAAGATTCTGAGAGGTCCAGTGACCTACTTTAAAACATTTAATTAGTGTCCTACTGATGGAACTAGGGCTCATGTCCTCTCAGCTCTAAGGATTTAACATTAGCACTGGTCATACCTCAAAACAATCTTAAATGACCATTTATCAAATGGCTAAATGTGAGGCTTCTTTCAGCTTTCAGTGGAAAAGTGATTCTTCATGAGAAACAGCCATAAAATTAATAATTTTATCTTAAAAATTAACACAAAAGAATTTAGTCTGTCCTATAAAACTATTTTTCTAGGGGCTATTCGCTCAGAAATGGCATGATTTTCCTTATTGCCAGGGTCATTACTTCACCAGTTAAAAGTAAATAAATAAAAATGTATTTTTCCATTACTGCTTTTAATTGTATAACAGTCAATAAATATCTGTGGGTATTAGTTTTCAGTTTGGGTTCTCAGGGTCAATTTTTTCAGAGGCTATAGGTTTACAATTTAATCACAAGAGTATGATGGGGTTTGTGCAATCCACACTACCTTGGAATGCTGTCTTTCTTTTATATGGAAAATGGAACTCACTAAAGTGAAGTATTACCTTTTGGTTTCGTACAGATCAAGTCTCAGCTCTGTCACTTAATAGTTATGTGAAAATGAGCAAGTTACCTAAGTTCTCTAAGATGTGTTCTTCCCATTTGCAATGCAGGGGGAGAAAAAAACTAACTTGTGGCATTATTGTGCATATTGAATGAGAAGGAATGTAAAGGATTGAGCACAAATGCCTGGGGCAGAGTAAGCAGGCAGCAAATGTAGCTTTACTTTGATGATGCTGATAACGAGGACCCAGGACAATGAAGCCCTTGCTATCAAGAGTATTTAGAGCAAGATTTAAACAAATATACTTCCTTCTCCTTGATTCAACCATTTCGAGTATTTTTAGATTATTATTCTTGGCCATTTCCAACATCTGAAGAGAAGTTAAAATCCTTTAAGTTATATAAAGTGCTCCAGTACCTGCTGGTGGTCGTAAGGTAGAGGGACTCCAGAGCAATCTGGCATCAAAACTACTTTCAGGTTATCTCCTTTAAGATTTCTTAAAAATCTCCCCCACCCTGACAAATAAAATATACTATGAACTAACTAGTAACAATTTTTAAATAGAACTTATTCTATTGCCTGCCCGCTGTCCTTGTGTAGAGAAAAAGCACTTCACAGAGAAACACCCTTTTTCTACTCTGCAGCTATGAAGATGATCAGCTCTAAATCACTGGTTCCCTGACTTTGACTGGCTGATAATTTCCACATATTACTGCTCTAATGACTTACCACACCCTTAGTGCCTTGAAACAGCACACATTTATTTTCTTGCAGTTTTGGAGGTCAGAAGCCCAACCTCAGATTCATTTGGCTGAAGTCAAGGTGTCAGCAGGGCTGGCTCCTTCTGGACGTTTGGAAGGAGGAATCCATTCCCTTTCCCTTGTCCAGCTTCCATATTCCTGGGCTTATGGTCCTTCCTCTATTTTCAAAGCACATCACTCCCCTCTTTACTTTTGTCAGCATTATCATCTTCTCTTCTGCCTTCGTCTTATAGGGATACCTGTGACTACTTAGCTGGGCCCACCTGGATTATCCAGGATACTCTTCTCATCTAAACATCCTTAATTTAATCTTCCCTGGAAAAATCTCTTTTGTCATATAAAGTGATACATTCCCAGGGTATGAGGATTAGGCTGTGGCCTACTGGGGGATATTATTCATCTATCACATGGCTGTTGGGCAATCATTGCAGTATGAGATTAGATAGTTTTACTCCCAAGGAATTGTTTGGCGTTAAAGATACTTGCTTAGATAAACTCACTTTTTAAAGTTGAAACGTTGAAATAGAACTCAACAGGATGCTTACATTTTTTTGTCACACAAACATTTCCATACTTGTCCACTCAGATTATTTCATTGACCATATCATCATCTGCTTTGAAGGAGGTTTCTGTGTACCTCGCTTTTCCATTTAATAGAAATAACTCTCTCAAAATTTCAAATTTCATATGATTAATTTTAAAAATGTTTTTATTGCTATTGTCAGCTTTTTAACACATTTTATATAAGTTAAAATTAATTTGTGGATTCTAAAAATATGCTGACATACAATGTTAAAATAAGAATAATTATAATTCTTTATGATAATGTTTATTGAAAAATTGTGACAGAGAATTGTAACCCACCCCACCATTCTTTTGACATTGTTTTTGTAAGTGCTGACTCTGATTAATGTGCAGCTTGTAGATGAACAGAATGTTTGTATAAGAACCCTAGGATCTAATTTCAAAAGATACAGATTCCGACCTTCAGGCAATCCAGGTCTGGGAGATTTGCTGACCTTCAATTGTAGAGCGAGGATGACGTGAAGCCAGGACTAAACCAGGATGATGCACGCTGGACCATCTACTTGCCTTATAGGAATGGACTGTGCTTGTCTGCACATAGAGAAGTTTTCAACCCCCTTTCTTGATCTCTTTGTTCTTTTTCCCTCTCCCTCCTTATAAAAACCTATGCCTGCACCGAGAGATGGAGATGGGCTTTGAGATGTGAGTCCCCCATCTTCCAGGTGGCTGGCACCTGCAAACAAACCACTTTCCTTTACACCAGCACCTGCTTCTCAAGTATTAGCTTCTGTAGCTTCAGGCACCTGGACCTGCTCTCCGTTGCAGTTTTTGGCTACCCAGATGGGACTATGTGGACCACAGTCAGGCCTGGAGGGGTCCCAGCTGCTTGTGGCAGGCTGACCCCAGGGTAGGCACTGCAGGAATTTCCCAGTTCTTTATCTCAGGAACTTTCTCTGTTCTCCCTGTCAAGGCCATCAGCCGCCTTTAAACACTCTGCTGGTGAAAGGCAACAAGTCTCTGCGGAGTTGACAGGTTCCGACTGGAGAGCTGATGGACTCCAGTGTTCATAGTTGTGTTTTTAATTTGGAATATTATCGTTCAGAGAAATTTGCATGGAAATCATACTGCTTTCTAATTATCTGTTAGTTCTGTTTCTCTGTTCCTCTGCAGGAAGAAGTCAGTTTCAGTTTGAGAGTTCTTGTCTGTTGGTCTTGGTTACAGTTATTCTTTGCTTGCTTTCTTATCTTTTGGGAAACTTGGTTTGATCTTTGCTGTTTTGTATTCCCTGGGAATCTTCTGTCTCTGTTGTTTGGGCTGTGCTATTTGGGCCATGCCATTTAGGCCTTGTAAAGGTTATTCGCCAAATGGTAGGTGTGAGATAGTGTCTTTGCTGTTTGGGCCTTTGTGTATTTGTGGTACCACCTGGTATCAGATAACATCTCTGCTATTTCGGCTTCATGCCATTTGGATCTTGGCAGAGTCATTTGTAGTACCAGGCGGTGTGAGATAAGATTCTAAGGCCAGTGCCCCATTCCCTCCTTTTAGAGTATTTAATTTGACAATACTGGTTGGCTTGAACTTTGTCTCTGCTTTAGATATTGGGGTTTTTTTTCCCCTGTTTTGAAAGGAACGGCTCAGTCTCAATCTCAAAATGTTTTGCTAAACTTCTGATAAATAGAATAAGGTCTCTAATGTTGTTACATCAAAAGAATTCTATTCAGAATGAATTTAAATTGATGGCTTAAAGAGGCAGAAAGGGCTCATGCCCCTCTTAGATAGTAGAACTCAGGAAGAAAAAAAAGAGAAAATGAGTCTTTTAAGTACTCTGAATCCTCCTTCTGGAGGCCCAGGAGCTGCTTCGGTCCTGGGAACAAGCCATGCCAAGCCTGGTATCTCCTCCCCCTGTCTTTTCCAGCCTCCCTAAAGTTGCCAAGGGCACTAGCTAATGAGATAGCTCACTTTTGAGCACACTACAGGAATGCAGTAATCACTAAGAATAAAAATGCAAATGTATTTGCCAATGGGGAAAAAACTTTCTAAAAGTTGTGAAATGTATTCATAAACTCATCTTTCTAAAGCAAGTTAATTACTTACTTTCAATTGTCACTAACAATTGAGAATTTTAATTGAATTGGGGAAAAATACATGGTTTTGGTAATAAAAGATAAATTATGGCAATATATCTTGAGAAAAATAGAACTGAATGAGGGTTATTCTAAAATTGGTTATGTGTGGGTGAGTTAAAAGGGCAAACTAAAATGGACTAGAAAGGTTGAAGAAGGATTGTGTAAATTGCAGAGGGTCCCTCTAAGTTGAAGAGGGTCTGTATAAGTCACTGAGGGTCTGTACAAATTGAAGAAGGGTTGTGTAGCAGGGGGTGGCCAACCCATGACCCACAGGCTGCACGCAGCCCAGGATGGCTATGAATGTGGCCCAACACAAAATTGCAAATTTACTTAAAACCTTTCGTTTGCTCATCAATTTTCATCAGTGTTTGTGTATTTAAAGTGTGGCCCAGGACACCTCTTCTTTCAGTGTGGCCCAGAGATGCCAAAAGTTTGGACATCCCAGGTAGAGGGGGAAAACAAAAAGAGAAGGAATTAAGGACATCAACAAAGGTGAGAAAGGATAAAGGAAGGGACGTATAGGAAGAAAAGACATTGGAGTAGGAAACTCAAGAAGAGAAATGGAAATGGAAAAAAAGAAATAAGAAAAAAAGGAAAGACACATAGAGATGAAAAAGCCAAAGGCTCCCTTTGATTTTCTGAAACCAGTTGTTATTTATCAACAGAAACCCCAGGTACAATTAGACAAGGGGGAACAAAATAATTGATTCTTTGGTCTGATATACTTTCATTTGTAATTCTGTTTGCTATCATAATATGTTGTTACAAAAAAACAGCACATTCCTTTGTCAATCGCATTATAATCATATCTGTAATCATGTCCTTTAAAAATGTTATTTGTCATTTAGAGTCAGTCATTGTTTTACTCTGGTGCATATGCAAAAATGTTACACCCTCTGACTTATTCTAAAATATAGGTTTCTGAAAATATGTTTTCAGACCCTCCCTTTGGAATAGATGGGAATTTTGGAGGCCCTGGGGAATGACTGAATTCATAGACATACTGGCAGATAATGGGGATAAACCAGAATTGATGTGGGCCTGAATGAAAGGAAAATAATTATCATTCTTGTGACTTTGTTCAAAATATTGTTGATTTTAAAAGAACTTATTTGTTTTTGTAGAGAAATTCGGTAAACTGTAGCAATATTGAAGCATTTATATTTTTCTCCCTACTTGATCCCTCCAGAATTTGGAAACTCTTAATGAGTGAGTATTATTATTTCCATGGCAATATGTTTATTTCCATGAATCCAATAGAAGTCGAATTTCTTCCAGTTGCCAAATGTGGATTTATTAGCCAACACTGTCACTGGAATGTCATGTCTGAAAGAGATATGCCTAGACTCAGGATGTCAGCAAAAACCTTTAAGGAATAAAGGTTGACTTTGGAGCTGATAAAAGCCCCTTGGAGAAATGGCCTGGTACTTTATTTACTCATATGGTTCACGGCAGGCTTCCCAGATAAGGAGTGAAGGTTGCTTTCTTAGGATATGGCAAGAAAAGAACCTCAAGACATTTTTGGAACCTCTAGAACTTGAGGAGTTTACCGAAATCTGCAGGTATTGCAGACAAAGCCTCATGGCAACTGTGTGGTTTGGCTTCTTTGCCCTGAAAGGCTAATTAAAGTTCAATTTTAAAATTCCTTATGAGTTTCATTCCAACTAAGTGTATTTGAGAAAGTCTATATGATCAATAGTTATTCCTGTCGTGTTTATACAAATAATCAGGCCAAATTGAAACTGCACTTAATACAGTAAGTAAATTGGTCATGATTTTGCTCTTTGATTAAAAAAAAATGAGGGTGATTTTAGGGGAAAAATTATATTTCAATAAAATCTATAGTGTACAATTATGGGAATTAGGCTCTAATTCAATTAATTTTCTGTAAAATTTAATTTTTTACCTATAAACAAACTGGATCCTAAATTTTTCTAGTTTTCTTAAATGTTTTGGGTACAACAATCTAACTTCCATAGGAATAGAAGAAAAATTGACAGTGGGGATTTGTAACGGTGGAAAATGGTAATGGGGATAATAACCCACACCATCATCCTTTTAACATTGTTTCTGTAAGCACCAACTCTGACTAATATGTAGCTTTGCAGATGAACAGCATGTTTGTATAAGAAGCCTAGGAACTAACTTCAAAAGATACAGACCTTGACCTTCAGGCAACCCAGTTCTGGGTTACTTGCTGACCTTCGACTGTGGAGCCAGGATGACATGAAGTCAGGATGGCCTGAATACAGTATGGCTAAATGGATGGTGCACACCAGATCATCACTTGCCTTATCGGAATGGACTGTAATTGCCTGTACACAGAGAACTTTCCGCCTCCTTCTTTGATCTCTTTCTTTGTTCTGCTCCCCTTTCCCTCCTTTAAAAACCTCTGCCTCCACTGAGAAATGGAGATGGGCTTTGAGACATGAGTCCCCCATCTTCCAGATCCCAGCATCTGCAGATAAACCACTTTCCTTTACATCAGCACCTGTCTCTTGAGTATTGGCTTTCATAGAAGCAGGCAGCTGGACCTGCTTTTGGTTACAATAAGGCTTAAAGTAAAAGTATGTTTTAATTTCCTTCAAAGTAATGCATAAATAAGCAAATTTAATGTTAAAAATTCCTTTCATGATCTACATCAAGTAAAAACCTGTACTAAAAGAATGGGGGCGAGGAAGCAAGATGTCATAGATTACAAGTACAGAACTGAGTTTAGCTATCACCAGGCAATTGTTTAAAACAATCAACTCATAGAAAACTTAATTCATTAACTATTTGAAAAAGTGTCAGAGTTTAATCATAACTCAAACTAGTTGTCACCACAATGGAATCATCTCCATCGAAATGTGAAGATCTGGTGCATGAAATCCAGAATCTCTCCTTATAAATATTACTTATGGGTAATGCTTCCATCTGGAGATAAATCAAAGTATCAATCATGGTTTAAGATTCCCCCAACTAACCTTTTTGGCAAAATTAAATAATCTCTTCAGTAAAAAAAATCTCACCATGCTCTGAATCCAATTTAATCAAGGTTTGATGCTGAACTTATTTGCTTTTTATTTCAGAATCAAAGCCATGTTGATAGCAAACATTCTTTCACTGGCTGGAGCCCTCTTGATGGGGTTTTCGAAACTGGGACCTTCTCACATTCTTATAATTTCAGGAAGAGGTATATCAGGACTGTACTGTGGTAAGTCTCACACACATACACACGCACTTGTGTGAAAATTATTCTAAAAGCAGATATAACATGCAGGGAATATTTTGAGCTTGAGGTAGTATCACAAAAGGGTTAGGCAGTAGCATAAAGTTCAACTCCTCAGTCAGGGGGGTCTGGGACCCGTAAGCAGGAATTGTGTCTTCTAACCAAGGCAACATTGCTAGTCATAAAACCACAAATTCTTAATTCTCAGTTTCCTTATCTAGTAAATGAAGAGAATAATATCTACCCTGTAAAGTGCTTGAGAGAATACATGTAAAATATTCAGCATAGACTATGACTACAGTAAACTGCCAAGAAATGCTGGCTACTGCTATGACACTCAATGTGCAGTGGACAGTGGAAGACTGATAGACCCAGAAACTCTAAGTCAGCCCTGTGGCCTACCTGGCCTCTATGTCTCTGCCTCTTCTATCTGGAAACACATTGGCACCAGGCCCACCTCTCAGCCCATGCTGCCTAGCGCTATCAGATTGCAGACCTGACTGACCAGGCGAAGGGTTAAAGTGGCAGTGACTCCAGGGACAGGGAATCAGAAAGAAGCAGCTGGTGGAAGAGTTCAGAATAAAGGATGGATGCTCCTCCCATGAACTTGATAACTAAATTACTAGAATCATTCAGTCTTGAAAACAACTTTTCCTTTTTTGTTTGATAATATAGTTTTGTTGGGTTTTTTTTCCATTACCATTTATCCCTCTTACACCCTCCTCTGCCCCACAATCACTACACTGTTGTCCATGTCCATGAGTCTGTTTTCTTTTTTGCTGGATCTCTCTACCCCGACCCCACCCCATAGCTTTCATCCTACTTTTTATCTATGAGTCTGTCTCTATTTTGCTTCTTAGTTCAGTTTGTTCATTAGATTCCACATATAAGTGACCATACAGTACTTGTCTTTCTCTGACTGGCTTACTTCATTTAGCATATTGTTTTCCAGGTCCATCCATTCTGTTGCAAAGGGTAAAATTTTCTTCTTTTTTATGGCCGAGTAGTACTCCATTGTGTAAATGTCCCATAGTTGTTTTATCCACTCATGTACTGACGGACACTTGGGCTGCTTCCATATTTTGGAGACTATAAATAATGCTGCAACGAACATAAGGGTGCCTGTGTTCTTTCAAATTAGTGTTTTGGGTTTCTTTGGATATATTCCCAGAAGTGGGATCACTGGGTCAACAGACAGACCATTTTTAATTTTTGCTTAAAGATTTTATTTATATTCAGAGAGAGGGGAAGGGAGGAAGAAAGAGAGAGAGAAAGAGAAACATTGATGTGTCAGAGAAACTTCAGTTGGTTGCCTCTCGCTCGCCCCCAGGGTGGGACCTGGCCTGCAACGCAGGCCTGTGCCCTGACTGGGAATTGAACCAGCAACTTCTGGTTCACAGGCCTCCACTCAATCCACTGAGCCACATCAGCCTTGGCTATTTTCAATTTTTTGAAGTATCTCCATACTGCTTTACACAGTGGCTGGACCAATCTGCATTCCTATTAGCAGTGCAAAAAGGTTCCCCTTTCTCCACATCCTTGCCAGCACTTGTTTGTTGATTTATTGATGATAGCCATTCTGACCGGTGTGAGGTGATATTTTATTGTGGTTTTAATTTGCATTTCTCTGATGATCAGTGACGTCAAGTGTCTTTTCATATGTCTATTGGCCATCTGTATGTCCTCTTTGGAGAAGTGTCTGTTCAGGTCCTTGGCCCATTTTTTAATTGGATTTTTTTTGGTATTGAGTTTTATAAGTTCATTATAAATTTTGGATATTAATACTTTATCAGATGTATCAGCGAATATGTTCTCCCATTCTATGGGTTGCCTTTTCATTTTGTTGATGGTTTCCTTTGCTGTACACAAACTTTTTAGTTTGATGTAATCCCATTTGTTTATTTTTTCTTTTGGGAAACAAGTTTTCAAACTTTCAGAAGCAACTACTCAACAGAGGCCTAAACAAAGAGAGGATCACACAGTCTCTAGAACAGCCAAATCTTTACCTTCTCCGTGCCAGCGATGCCCTGGTAGTTCTGGGCTGAGGCATTAAGCCCTTGTCCCAAACCGCAGCAATTAGAAACCACTGATCTCCACTGGGGGTGGGAGAGGAGGGGCAAGGTCACAAAGTGGTTTATAAAGTGTTTATAACATTTTTACCTGCAAAGAAGAAAGATTGTAATTCCGTGTATCTTCAAAGATCAGTTGAAAAATAAGTCTAAAATCATTTAATTATATATTTTTTTAATTATTTTCAAGGTTAAAACAAATAACTGAGAATCAGGATAGCTTTATTAAGGTGAAAAGTCAACCCACGTGTGGAAAGAGCTTTGAATTCACACTGAATCAATTCTGGCACTGTGTCTGATCTTAGATGTGTTAATTGAATACGAGCCTCAGTTTCCTCTTCTGAAAAATGTGAATAATAACATTATCAAAGAGGTCCAAATCATGATTCTTTTTTTTTTCTTTTTCTCCATTTTAATAAATACAGTTAAAAAAAACAGAGCTCCTTTATGACCCAGTGATTCCACCTCTGGGTATTTATCCAAAGAAATCTAAAACACTAATTCATAAAGACATATGCACCCCTATGTTAATTGCAGCATTATTTACAATAGCAAAGATATGGAAGCAGGCCAAGTGCACATCAATAAAAAGATGTGGTGCATATATACAATGAAATATTATTACATGGTCATAGAAAATAATGAAATATTGCCATTTGCAACAACATGGATGGACCTAGATGTTATTGTGTTCAGTGAAATAAGTCATTCAGACAAAAACAAATACCATATGATATCACTTATATGTGTAATCTAAAGAACAAAATAAGTGAATAAACAAAACAGAAACAGACTCATAGATACTAAAAACAGACTGATGATTGCCCTAGGGGAGGGCCTCTGGGTGGAGTGGCTGAATGAAAAAGATGAAGGGATTAAGAAGTACAAACTGGTAGTTACAAAATAGTCAGAGGAATGTAAAGTACAGCATAGGGAATATAGTCACTAATATTTTAATAACTATGTATGGTGACAGGTGGGTACTAGAATTATAAAGGGGATCACTTTGTAAATTACCTAATTGTCTGACCACTATGTTGTCCACCTGAAACTAATATAAAATAATATTCAATGTCAAAAATATTATATAAATTATATATAATTATATATTATTAAATTAATATATAATATTAATATTATATAATATTAAATATTAAATATGTTATATTTAATAATACAACATATAATTATTATATTTAATAATATATAATTATTGTAATATAAATATAATAATATAATATTAAATATATTACCTTTGAAAATGCAGCTTAAAATCTTCAAGAAAATTTAGTTAATTAAGTTACAAATAGGACTAATTAATAGAATAAAATTTGTAAATTGCAATGAAAAGTTCAAGAAAAACTTGGGTTTTAAATTTCTAACTTTAATAAATTGAAATTAAAGAAAAATTAAAAACCAAAATGCAGTAAAAATACAAAAGGTTTTTGGTGAAAATTGACAAGAAATGCTATAAACATATTGTGAAGCAACCTATCACGACCATAGCCAAGTATATTTGTACTCTCCAACCATCTTTTAAAATTATGTTTTGACCCTATTCTGAATATCAAAGTTCCTAAAAGTTATAGGGAATGCAATTTGACTTCAGGTTCATGTGACTTCAGACCTGTGAGGTTATCTACACTATTCTATTCTTGAGGTGTAATAGTAGGTATTGCACAAAGATTGTCAGCAGAATTTCAGGTGCTGTATCAACCATGCAAATATTCATGTGAAATATCAAGAACAATGTAAAGCTTTAAAAACATATATTGAAATAGTTCCTGAAAGTATCTTTTATACAAACCAACCATTTCTACTTGATAGACAGGCAGTCTCTATAAGAGGAAGCCTCTGACAAATCTTATTTTTAAATTCTTAAGAACACGTCAGCCCTGTTTGGTGTGGCTCAATGGACTGAACACCAGCCTGGGAGCCAAAGGGTCACTGGTTCACTTCCCAGTTAGGGCACATGCCTGGCTGCAGGCCAGGTCCCTGGTGCTGGGCATGTGAGGGGCAACCACACATTGATGTTTATCTCCCTTTTTTTTCTCTCTCCCTCCCTCCCCCTCTCTCTAAAAGTAAATAAATAAACTCTTTTTGAAAAATAAATAAAAAATTTAGTAAAAGAACATGACGAATATTGCATTCAGCCTTGCCTTATTGATAGCTTTTGACCTTTTTCCGCACTCAGCAAATGACTGGAAATGCTACCATTTCCAACATGACTGATCACATCTGCGTCTAAGAAAATTATGGAAGGCAGAATGGCCTAGTGTTTTTCAGTTTTTGTATCCCTTTAAATCCCCACAGTCTTTATTTAAATTAAGTCTTTTCTGAAGGCTTCTATTTGGAGAATATAAAGAAGAAGCTAGTTTGCTCTGGCTGGAGTAATTGGGGGAAGAGCCCCTTAGTTCCTTAACCCTTTCCCTCCTCTCTAAACCTCCCATCACTCAAACAGTGATCTTGAGGTACCTCCACATTGTGGAAACTCAAAGAGGGCTGTAGTTCTCATGCTAAAACTTGATTGCACTGTGACCTTAGGTAAGTCATTTCTCAGCTCAATCAAGTAATGACATTGGTTTAGATGTGTCCTGATTCCCTTTAACCCATGAGAGGAGATTAAGAATATTATTATTTCTTTAAGAATATTATTATCACATTCTTCAGTTTCTTTTCTAAGACACCTGAAAGCATTATGATGTAAACTCAATATTAACATGGATTTTTTTTTAATTAAATAAGACAATGTTATAAATAATTGCCAAATACTTGACTAACCATTTCTATTCATATGCCCAGCTACAACTTTATTGGAATCTTATCAACAAATGTTCTTTTCATAAACTGTGTCTATGGTTGGGAACAAGGGTTCTTCTTTTCAACAAACTCAGAAAGGGACTTCCCATCAGAATAGCGACTGTGCTTAGCCAAATTAATGTTATTGAGGTAATCCTGGCTTTGTATTAACATTTATGTTCATGTTTTATACAGGGCTGATTTCAGGCTTGGTTCCCATGTACATTGGTGAAATCGCACCCACCACCCTCAGGGGCGCTATTGGCGCTCTTCACCAGCTGGCCATTGTCACGGGCATTCTTATTAGTCAGGTAAAATCCCTTACCCCTGCTTCATCCATCCCCTACTTTCCACAACTTTTTTCTCCCTGACTGTCCACTTTCACTGTAGTCCTACATAGGAAAACAAGAATTCCACCGGTGTAGTGGAGGTGGTGTAGAATCACAGGCATTTTAGTCCAAGGCTAAATTATTACCGCTCCAGTCCTCACTCTCCCCCTGGGGCTGCGGTTGTGTTGGCACTGGAGGTGACCCAAAAGCCAAATCTTGAACTTCTGTTGCTATTCTATATTAAATTATTCCATTTAGATTTAAAGGAATAAGAAACTTCAAATATTTGGCTGTCTGGGTTTTCTTTGTTTTGAGTGTCTTACTTGGAAATTTAATATGTAAATGATGACCTGTTTCTTGTTCAGCTGGCTCTATCTTTCCCTTCTATCCTGTGGTCTCAGAGGGAGCCCTGGGAACCCCAAACCTATGACTATCCAGAGGGTATACTATGGCAGTAGGGGTCACAAAGCTGGTTCTCATTGGAGTAATTGTTCTATCTATATAATCCCATTCTACTTATGTTCTGAACAACCTAATTAGAACTTTTTTTTGACAAAGATTGAAAGACACATGGCTTTGGGTGTTGTTTTAAATATCAAATATGTTGTTAAATGTTTGGTTGAGTCTTATCCTAAATGTTCAATAGGAGTTCATAAAAACAACCTAGATGAAGTCTTTGTAAAACAAATCGTTCTTAATTAATTAGGGTGAGACACCCTAGTGATAGTTTTCATCTTGATGCATATTTGATGCACAGTGATCCCTGAGAATGCAAGTTCTCAGGGATTACGATTCAGTAGCCAACATGCTTATTCAACAGATTGTTGCAGAAGGCAGACTCAAAGTGTTGTGAAGTTGATATGCTTCCTCTCTACCTTTCCAGATTGTTGGTCTTGACTTCATCCTGGGCAACCAGGAGCTGTGGCACATCCTGCTTGGTCTGTCTGCTGTGCGAGCTGTCCTACAGTCTCTCATGCTCTTCTTCTGTCCAGAAAGCCCCAGATACCTTTACATCAAGTTGGATGAGGAAAACAAAGCAAAACAAAGTAAGTCCATGGGTGGTTTTGCTGTCTACCTATTATTTTAGAACTATCACCTAATGAGAAACAGTGTGCATGACTGGCTTCTCATGAAATTGGCACCAGTACTTTCCAAATGAAGTCAGTGATTATGTGTGAGGAGAATGTGCAAGATCACTTTAATATGGCAGGCACATGCCATTTTGCAACCATAAGTATTCATTCAGCCCAAGTCAGAAGCCCACAAGCAGAGTACTGGACTCAGCCATAATCTTCTAAAAGGCTTTCAGCATTATGCTTCAGGAATATGATGGTCATAGTTCTCTTTGTCATAATATGAAGCCAAATGTTCTGCTTTTGTGAAATTTTAAAAAAGCAGGACTTGACTTAACAAAAAAGAATTCCTAAAGTGCATGTTATTTAGTAATAGAAAGGGCTGTACAGAACTGCAGATTTTTTATTTACATAATACGTATAAATTTATTTTTGTTTTGATCTGAGTTGTATAAATGTGATCATTTTGGGGGCAGGCTTGAGGAGGCTCAGAGGCAGTGCTGATGTCACCAAAGATCTCGCTGAGATGAGAAAAGAAAGGGAAGAAGCATCGAGTGAACAGAAAGTCTCCATACTTCAGCTCTTCACCAATTCCAGTTACCGACAGCCAATTCTAGTGTCACTGATGCTACACATGGCTCAGCAGTTTTCTGGAATCAATGGGGTAAGTTTAAGAACATCCCCTAACCCTTAAGAACAAAGCAAATTAGTATAGATCAAAAAGGGGTATGAGTTTAAACAGCTAAAAGACATTTTAAAATGTTAACATCACATGTCTTAGTATAAGCAAATATTGAGTGAGTGCTAATTTTCTGTTTTGCCTCATCCGCTTTCTAAAATTAGCTTACAGTTTTTTAAAAATGTCAGCAATCAATGGCATTGTATGTCTATTAAGATACAGGTAAGAAGGCAAACGTCATAATAAATACGAAAGAGGGAAAAGGAGAATAATTATACCAAAGACAACTAAATTACAAATGCCTTCTAGAGTTGAGCATAAAATTTAGGATTTACACTAGCCTTGGCCAAAGGAGCCCATGGCTCCCACTATTTAAATGACGTATACCAGATATCCAGGTGCCAGAACATTTCCTGCCATCCAAGAAACTTGCACTATATTTGGGAAGACAGCTCACACACACAAAATAAACAATAGAAACTGATATGGAATGTGAGTGAGGGTGGTAGAAAAGACATGGTTGAAAAACATACTGAGTATTAAACTTGCTAGATTTAGGGTTTTCACTTGAAATATTTGTATTATGCAGGCTTAAATAATTTTTTACTGGTGATTAGCTAGCAGAAGAAAACAAACATTTGTTAAGAAACTAAACAAAGGAAATTACTTATCTCCTTTCATTGTTGTTGCAAATATGATTTGGCTTCTTCTGTAGAGAGCCAATCTGAGATCCACAAAGGACACTGGAAGTGACTGATGGGTGGGTTGAGAGTTGGAGGAGGCAAGGAAAGTAATTCCTATGCGATGAAGCAAAAGGAGAACTAAACCTCACTCCACAGGCTGAGTACAGGTCTGCTGTGAACTTCGTCCTCCTTTAAGGGTTCTTGGTGTTCATTTTTATCTAAAAGTCTCTATAACTCTGGGGCTCAGGGACCAAATTTCTTTCCCTTGTCTCAGTACTGCTTGTACATTCAATGGCACAATACTTAACTCTCTGAATGTCCCAGCTTTAGCTTCCATCTTACAGTTTATTTAGAAGCATCCAGGAAATACTGGACTTGAGGCTGTTGGGCAGCCTAAAAATGGTGAGAGAGTATGCAGTGTGCTAAAGCCAGTCATGGAGCACAGCTTGCACAGTCTTCCTGTACCAGCCCCATCTGCGGGAAGAGGCCATATATGTGGGGAAGGAGCCCGAGGACGGTAGAACAACAAAATGACCTAAAAGACTATTATAAAAGTAAAAGCATACCTGAATAATAAAAGCTGTTAAGGAGGTTATGAATCAGACTTCTCCATCTCTTCTGAAATTAGTGGGAAATTTTGGATTGAATGCAATACAACCGGAACTCTCATATGCACTGGGGAGAGCATCGACTGCCACAACTTCTTTGGAAAATTGTTTGGCAGTATCCATCAACGCTGGGCGTACGCATACTCTGTTGTTCTGCAGGTCTATTCCTAGGGGTAAATGTATGCATATGTCACTGAAAGGATTGTACTAGAATGTTCACAGCAGCACTGTTCATAATCACCCTAAATGGCAACTACCTAAATACCCATCAATGGTAGAATAGGTAACTAAATTGTAGCATATTAATTCAATAAAATACTATATAGCAAAGATAATGAATAGTCTACAAATACAACTATAGATTATTCTCACAAAGATAATCTTGCAGCCAGATGCAAAATAATACACACTATGTGGTTTCATTCATACCAAATATAAGACCAGGCAAAATTTATCTACGATGGTAGAAGTTAACACTGTCTCCTTGAGGAGAGAGGGTGACATTTGGGGGGCTTCAGGAAGGTAAGAAAGGGTTTATTTCCTAATCTGGGTATTGGTTATACAGGTGTGTTCACCTTGTGAAAATTAATTGAGCTGTACATTTATGACATGTGTACTTTTTTGTATAGATTTTACACTTTAACAAAAATTTTAAAAATAAGAACATGCATATGCAGAGTTTTTGCTAAATATAAAAAGAACTTTTAAGCACTCACAGGCTTTAAACACTGAAGGAAAAGTGTGGTTTTTCCTTCCCCAGAAAGAGAGGGTGGACAAAATCTTTAAGAAGTCCTAGGGACCATGGTTACATAGAAGCAACTAAAATTAAACAACTTAAAATATTCCTTGTTTTAAAGCCATCAGTGCTAGGATTTTGGATTAAGGCTAAACTGTTATTACTTTGTAGATCTTTTACTACTCAACCAGAATTTTTCAGACGGCCGGAATCAGCCAACCAGTTTATGCAACCATTGGAGTTGGTGCCATCAACACAGTTTTTACTGCTCTCTCTGTAAGTACAACAACCCTAAAGTAGTCTGCTTATTCCTTAGTCCAGAAACAGAATTAAAAACAAAACAAAAAGCGATCAATGACTTATTGTCCATATTCTCTGGATATGTGAAACCGAGTGGGTCATGGGAAGATGCCTCTATGTGAATAACCAACCACTGCATCGATGAGGCATAACTGAGCAGGTTGTCTGGTTCTGCTTATAACTGGCCCTCTCTATTGGCAGGGATGCCATTAGCTGCTCTTTTATGAATTAAAAACTCACTTGGGGACACACAGAACTTACTCCTTGGGTTCCTTCTCCTTTGCTTTATATTTAAGCCATTGGGTTTAGCCAACAGCTTGTAATTTCCTTCAGTATTGGGTCTTGTACCTAGATTCTTCTCCTTTCATGGTTGAAATTCATTTTTTATCTTGATGTCTTGGGAAAACATTTTTTAAAAAAATAATGTGTTCCTCTCAATTAGATAGCTAAGCCTCTAATAAAATTAAACAAACTCAGCAAATTCTTATGATGTTAGGTCATTGGGCACAGCTTTCAAGTAGCTTGCAAGGCCATGGCTTCTGGTGATGTACATGAGTGTTTGGTATCATGAGAGCATGGAGTAGAAGTGGTAGACAAGTTGAAATTTTACTGCTGTTTTTGAAATTTTATTTTTTAGGATGTTGTTTTTTTTTTAATTTCTAACAAGGGGAGGAAGTAACATAAAAATTTAAAAATTGAGGTAAACAAGCAACAACAAAAGCAACAAAAAACTTCCCAACTAACGTAATGTGGCTTATTTTTTATCTTACAATGCAGGATGTTCAAAAGACTTGTGCCTTTTAGTTTCAGTTACAATGCTATACTCAGTATATTTTAGTCACTTGTTTTTCATTCCCTTCACATGGACTTTTAGCTATTACTTTACTGTGGTCAATAAATTATAGTCTGACTATCTAGATCAAAAGGCAGCTTTGTTCCAACCTTGGAAAAGTGGGGCAGAATAAATAACAAGAGAACAGCAGTGGGTCTGTAGACATGCCTTTAGAGATAATGCTTGTTCGAGCTAAAAGGTTGCTCTAAATCAATGAAGGTGTGGTGCTGGGATGCAATCCAATGAACTATTTGCATTCCTTTGTCACCTGAGATAAAATTTTTTACACATCCCAGTTCAACATATTTTTCTAATACAGAGATTATGATTAAAACATTTTATATATAACGGGATTAGCTAAGTAAAGCATCAAGTTGTCAAGATTGTGTAACCCAAACTCTAAGAGTGCCAGAATTTCATTTTTTTCCTCCCCCCATCAACCTTGTTGGAGTAAAAAGAGTTGTTTTGAAAACAGTGTCTTGATTGTTTTGAATATGTCTTTATAGAGTTCAGCTTTTTATTCTGTGGAAATTTTTGAGTGAGTGACAAAATATAAAAAAATCATCTGTAATCAGCTGTATAATTATAAATAACCCTCCAGGCCTACAAATAACAATGAAAAACTTTAATTATATTTGTATATTTTTGAAAAGTTGTGTTAAAGTACAAAAATGATAGCCCCTCAGTCACCCAGTTTCCCTCCCTCAAATGAACCAAAGTTACTGAATTCCATGAATCAAAATAAAGATACGCAAATGGGAACATGTACTGAAACATATTAATATTTCAACAACTTGGAAGTCTTTCCTTTTTTTTTTAAATTTAGGAAAAGAGAGAGACTTTCCTGACTCCATTTTGAATTATGTTCCATATTCCATGTTTTCTTCCACACTAACGGGCCCATAGAAGACAGCCTGTAAACCTTGAGGGAGAAAACAAAACAGGAAGAAATATGGAGGAAACTGGGAGGGAAGATGGGTCTAGGGGCGGAGCAGTGGCTCCCAAACTCTTGGTGGGCTTCCAGGATCTGAGTGATACGCACTGTCTGGGGCAAAGGTGAGAGTGAAGGTCAGCAGACATCCCCAGCCCCTGACTAAGTCTCACCCTGGGTCACATTCCTCCCTGTGTGCTCACCTGGCCTCCAAACGGGAGTCTAACTCAATTTTCAAGGCATGCAGATTTAGAGTTTATTATCTATTAGTAATAATTATTCAGAAACAGAAAAAAAAAACCCAACCCCCAGACATAATAAAAGCCCTTGTTCCCGAAGAAATGCTTCTATTTTCTTCCTAGCTTGACATGGTGTCATCAAGTCAGCTTTAAAAGCCATGATTAAAGAGTCAAATATATAGAGAGGAATTTTATGAACGTGAATTTATTTCTCACTTCCTTCTCAACACTTAAATGTGGGCTCTTTGCTTATCATCCTGAAGTGATTTGATACTGATTACAAGTGCCTCTGAGATGAAAGGGGTTTTCATTGTAGGTGAAAAGAAATATTTCTCCTATTTCTTTTGAAATTGTAGAGAGCTCACTATACTAACTGTATCTGATTGTTATTGATCTACTGATAGATTTATGAACCTAGCCAATTTTCTCACCAAAGTGAGAAATTAAGACAAGTGGTTTTTATTGTGAGTAACTCACCAATCTTGGCAGGATCAAGCAAGACTATCCAACAAACTCTGGTTTTGGCTAATTGTAAATCTTAACCATTAGTGCAAAGGTCCCCAGACCCAAAGAAATCAATGACATATCTCCTGACTTACAATAAGAAAGCACTTTAACCTTTTGCTTTCAAGTCTTACCTTGCCAAATGGATAGTTCATTCCTGGCTCCAGGTACATTTCAGCACACCAGAAAAATGAAGACTTGGCTATTTTAGTATAGTAATCAGATTCCATACATTGCCAGGTGAGTATTCTGTGAGAAATTTGGATGAGAATAGTTCCCACCTCAACAGCTGTACTGTTTCAGGTGTCTGTGGTACACACACACTCAGGAGAGAAATTAGTATCATTTTTATGTGGAAATTTCATATTTTAAACATACAGAAAATCTGTTGGAAGAGATCTAAGGTATATGGCCTCTTAATATTATACCCAAAGTGATAATCATAAAGTGATGGTAACACTATGGTTCTTGCTCTAGAATGCCAGGTTCAAATCGATGTGACTAAATGAAGCAGGTATTTGTGAATGTCACCTCTGGTCACTGAGACCCTCTTTGCTACCTTGGGCAAGAGTTACTCCCCTTCTCAGTTCACATCGGTAAAATGGGATAATAGAACTGCCTCTTTCCAGCTTTATAATTTAAAATGACCTCCTTGTCAGTAAAAACTATTCAAGTATCAAGCCTGTATGTTTTCAAACTTTCCAGGTATTCCTTGTGGAGAAGGCAGGGCGACGCTCTCTGTTTCTAATTGGAATGAGCGGGATGTTCGTCTGCGCCATCTTCATGTCCGTGGGCCTTGTGCTCCTGGTGAGTTTGGCGCCTGCCCTGAGATTTTTGGTTGCCGTATGATAGCAATTCCGTGCACTGGGTTAAAGTGCTTGTCTGTCAAAAAACTTCTGAGAATGACTTATTAAATAAAGCCAGAGGAAGAGCCTTTAACCAAAGGCGAAATGTAAAGAAAAAGATAGTTTGGGGAGTTTAAAGGCTGAACATCAGCAAGCGAATTGCACTTGTGACTCAGGGAGGCAGAAATGGTGAGAGGGTAGGCTCTGGGGTCAGCCCCAAACTGGTTTTGATGCTGGCTCTGCTGCTTGGCTGCCTGTGTGACCTGGGGCCGGTATCTGGCCTCTCCAGCCCAGGGCCCCCACCGCTACTTCACATGCATCTGTCTAGCAGCCTAGCTATTAGTAGGAACAAAGGTCACTGGGCCCTGACCCTGCCTCTTTCACAGGAAAAGAGTGACTAAGAATCCTATGAAATCCTAATCCAGAGGATTTCTCCATAAGAGAGGTCAAAAGATTTAAGGACAACTCAAACTAGAAGAAACTTGTCTCGAACTACACTGACATGTACTTTTTTGCACACAATCACCAGAAAGAGAGCCCTGTTCACCGCTAATATCAGGAAGGGTCTACTTAAGTAAAGGGAGAAGCAGCCAATAATCCCAGTTCTGTTTTTGTTTTGTATTGTTTTTTTCCTCCAGAATAAATTTACTTGGATGAGTTACGTGGCCATGATAGCCATCTTCCTCTTTGTCAGTTTCTTTGAAATTGGGCCAGGCCCCATCCCCTGGTTCATGGTGGCTGAGTTCTTCAGTCAAGGACCACGCCCTGCCGCTTTAGCTGTAGCGGCATTCAGCAACTGGACCTGCAATTTCATTGTAGCTCTGTGTTTTCCATACATTGCGGTAAGCGGCCAAGTATTGTGCACATTTACTGAACAGAAGATAGGGTCAAACAACTGCTAATTGGGACTCTGTGTTTGTTCTCTATGCAGGACTTCTGTGGACCGTATGTGTTTTTCCTCTTCGCTGGAGTGGTCTTGGCCTTTACTCTGTTTACATTTTTCAAAGTTCCAGAAACCAAAGGAAAGTCCTTTGAGGAAATTGCGGCAGAATTCCGAAAGAAGAAGGGCTCAGCCAAAACACCAAAAGCTGCCACAGAAATGAAATTCCTTGGCTCTACAGAGACTGAGTAAAGATAATCTGCTTTTTGACATGAACAGAAGAAGGAAGAAAGCCATGCGATGTTTAAATGGCAATTCTTTGAGAATTTTATATCTTCAAGTATTGTATTTTTTTTTTAAAGAGCTTTCATGGGCTCTGATCAGAAATGTCATCAAATATTACAAGTACTTTTTTTAAGTTACAGAATCTATTTTTGATAGTAAAATTCTGTAATTAAGTAAACCTTAAAGTCTAGCTCATTTTGTTACACAAAAGGACAAGGACATTCTAAGAACTGTTTCCAGTTCTGTTTTTTATAACAAAGTTCTACTGAAATTGAAGCCGTTTCAATGTATCCTGTTATTGCTTCATTAAGAATGTGGCTAGAGACCTGAAGCTGCAACTATTAATATTTACATATTTGCACCTAAGTTGGAATTTTCTTACCACAGACCTCATACTGAAGGAGATATGGCTAGTGGCAGTTACTGTTCACAGTAAAATTGATAACTTTTCCATTTCTCTCATGCAGTTTTTTTCTTGTGCATTGGAATTTGCATTTTGCTTAAATTTTTTATTTTTCCTGTATTTTCATGTGGAAAGCTTTTGTGAATACATTAAAATATGTTTGTAAAGAAAGCCTTTTATTTTTGGTAGGCTTACCAAAATCTTTCAGTACTTGGAAAATACAAGCAAACAACATTTTTAGTTGGTGACCAAACAGGTTTTTGTATATCAAACAGTAAAAAAAGTTTTATCTGCTATTATAGCATGGATTATCAGTTAATATTAACAGCTATTATAAACCCCTATTAAACCAATTCCTTTTTGGTTCCATCCTTTGAGTTATGTTTTGTTTTGCTTTTTAATTAAACACAGCCTGGTTTTCTGAGCTGTGTCATAAAATATGCTCAGTGGTAAGCCAGGCATTTTGTACATCTCCTCAAATCCCAATAAATTAAAGCAGTCTGACTTAGGGAATTTGAAGTAAAAAAAAATGCTGTTACAAAAAATATATTTTCTGAATCATTATGGTACTAAACAGGTGGAAGAGGCAGGGTTGGAGAAGTCCTGGGGGTGGGCTCCTGAAACTTCATGAATGTTCCACTTCAGACTGGATCAAAATCCCTGCTTAATTGTCCTAGGACGTCGGAGTTCCCTAACACAACACAGTCATCCCCTTGGATGTTTCCCTTTGTCTTAGCAGTATAGGGATACGATCTAAGCGGCTCTCTTGCAATTGCTGACATTTATTTTGTACTACCTAGATGCCAGGCATTGTTCTAAGTGCTTTTACCTATGTAGGCAAATTGAAAATACACAGATGATTACATAGACTTTTGCATACAGTCAACTTTGCAGCTATGGAAATACAGTTCTGATGGACACCAAAGGTTTAACAGGGGAATTAAAGCACCTTCAGGCTGTTTTCCTCACAAAGTGGAGCACATTTGAATCAATCCTTTTTATGTTTGCTTTAATGTGCATAAAAGCATTCAACAGTTGCTTGCTTGTTGTTGTTGCTTACCTTTTTGTACTGTGGTAGTCCAAATAATGAAATTAGTTCTTTTCATTTGGACTGATTTTTCTTTGTTTTGGACCAATTTGGGATAAACTATGCTCACTTAGGACCTCAAGACAGAGTGAGCTTAAATAGTCCAGGAGAACTTTGTGCTAAACTATGAACTCTCAGGGGATTGGATGGGGAGCGTGTAGGGACTCTGAATAGTGTAGCAGGAAAATGACTCTGGCGCAGCTTTTGTCTTCTGGACGCCGATGGCCCTGGAAAAGCCCAAAGTTTCAATGATGAAGAAATGTAACATTTCTGTAGATGATGAATATGATTTAATGAAATCACTACTCCTCATTTACTAAGAGAGTAAAGTTGTAAAGGTGTAATAAAGAGTCCAAAAGACCACTTTTAAGTTCTAATTAATTATTTTCATAGACCTACAAATACTGGAAATTTAGGCCCTGAAATTCTTTTTTCTTCCATAATTTTTTCTTTTTTTGCAGAGATACCAGTGAGATGCAAAGAAGCATGAAAGTGAAATTAGAAGATGTTAACCCTTCATATTAGGAAAAAGGAACTAGCTAAACAATAAAAAATCCTAGGTCCTCAATGGTGTACATCACAATAAATAATGAAATTGGCACTAATTAATGAGATTTAATCCCAGAGACATTAGATGTGAGTTTGAACACATTTTTCATGGTACTTTATCATTTTTGTGGAAGTGCTTTCATACTCTAATGTTCCAACCAATGTGATTTTTCTCTTTGCTTGTTTGAGCCTTTATTATACTTCCTAGTCCAGTTCCTTACCTGCTACATCTAGCTGGTGCTCACTGTCCTGGCATTAATGCAAGGGTCTTCTCTGCTGAGACAGAGTAAGAGAATGCCTCCTCCTCAATAAGCTCACAATCTAATAAGGAGTTCAGGAAGACCAGGATATAAATGTTTCTGTCTATGTCTTTTACTTTCCATGAACCTTGAGTTAGAGGCCTCTCTTGTAAAACAGGCCAAACAATGTTACCTACCTCTGAGAGTTGTTGTGAGGATTAAATGTAAAGTGCTAAGCAGAGTGTCTGGTATCCAATGTGCTACCTAGAATTAGTATTAACAAAGATACTATTAGGATGCAGGATTATCATATATATAAGATAGTCCTAAATTCATAATTCAAGATAATATTCTCTTATTTCAAGCAACAATCTCACAAAGATGAGGGAAAGTAAAAACCAGGGGAGATTTTAGGCTAATTTTAGGCCTAAACCCATACTTGATATTTCTAAGTAGGTTATAAGAGTTTTTACTGTATTTTTAAAATTTGCTTTTACCTGAGTTGTTATTTTTAAGAGGTCTATATGTAATATTATTTATTTGAATAATACTAAATACAAGATAAAATGCTGTATATTACATTTAAATTTCATTTAACAGGATATTCACCATAGCACAAGACCAAACTTTCTTGAAAACCCTCAAAAATTGCAAAGTGTGTAAACCAATGTACACACATAAGCTACTTCTTATTGCTAGCTTATTGTTATATGCAGCAAATAAAGCAATGTTAGGCAATAACTTGTGCTTTTGGTGTCTTAGCAGAGTGATGAGTAAACCGTAAACATACAATTTTCCATTACAATTCTATATCAGTGATCTTGAAAGAAAAGGTTTATTGAAAATCACTCTGAGCCATCTGTTGGTATTTTTACTGTCTTCTAATTTGGTGACATTAGAAAGAATCATGATGAAAATAAACTGGTTTTAGTTATGAGTGTATGTATGCTATAGTCTTAATAAATATATTTCCAAATGCTTAGTGTGTTTTATTTTATATAGAAAGTATATTTCAGAAACTTGATATTGGTTTACTGTATGTATGAATTTCCTTTTCACAATATTTTTCATATTGTGACTTTAAAGATAATATGTGAATTACTTTTTAAACCCAAATACTATTTTCCTCAGGCAGTTGTTTTGATTATCAGGAGTAGGAAAAAACTAGCCTGAAGGCTAAGTAAGCACAGTTGGAGAGGAATAAATGACTCCGTCTGAAGAAAATAAAAATAATTTAACTTAGTAAATATTTAATTGAGCTCCTGTTATGAAAAAGACACTCATTAAAGTTTTTTGAAAGAGAGACTCCTGGTCAAGATGGAGGAGGAGGTAGACACGCTCCACCTCCTTGAGCAACCACACAAAGAATTAACCAAATTTCAAAACAAATAACACCCAGAACTGTCAGAAAATTGAACTATATAGAAGTCCAAGTACCAAGGATTTAAAGAAGCCATATTCATACAGGCAGGCCTCCAGGAGGGATGGAGACACGGAGATGGGGGGCAGAAAGGCAAAGAGACATGGTGTGGTATAGAGAGGCGGCAGCGACGGTGGAGGTGGAACAGGCATGGGTGGCCCCACATTCACACGTGGTGGGTAAAAATCGGGAGGGATACATTGGGAGTGAGCAGTCCCTGCCCCAGACCAGACCATTCAGCCCAAGGTTCTAGCACCAGGAAGATAATTTCTTCCTGTAAAACCAGTGGGGATCAGGGCAGTGGAAGAAACTGCCAGAATTTCAGGAAACCCAATTAAAGGGCCCACATGGTCTTAAAATGTAAGCAAACCCACCCGCTCTGGGATTCAACGCAAGGGCAACAGTCACATACTGGACTGGAAGGGTGCCAGTCACATACGAGGAGTGGGTGAAATGACTGGAAACAGGGTGAGTGCCAGCACAACCCCCAGAAGCCAGGCAGTGGCACAGTCCTCTCTCCAAACCTTCCCCCCACACAGAGCCACAAAGAGGTGAAGTGGGTTGCCCCACCCTGGCAGTTATCTAAGGCTCCAACCCACACAATTTATAGGTGCCTTTTATAGGGAGTCAAAGCAGCTCTACCTACTATACAGAAACAAACACAAGGAGACTGCCAAATTGAGGAGACAAAGAAATATGGCCCAAATGAAAGAACAGAACAAAACCCCAGAAAAAGAACTAAATGAAATGGAGATAGCCAGCCTAACAGATGCAGAGTTCAAAACACCTGTGATCAGGATAATCAAAGACCTCATTGAGTATGGCAACAACATAAAGGAGGAAATGAAGCTACACTAAGTGAAATGAAGAAAAAAATACAGAGAAGGGAAGGAAGCTGGGATTCAAATCAATGATGTGGAACATAAGGGAGAAATAAACATTCAACCAGAACAGAAAGAAGAAAGAAGAATTAAAAAAAAAAAAGATTGTATAAGAAGACTCTGAGAGTTCTCCAAATGTGCCAACATCTGAACCATAGGGATACCAGAAGAAGAGTGAGAGCAAGAAATTGAAAACTTATTTGAAAAAATAATGAAAGAAAATGTCCCTAATTTGGTGAAGGAAATAGACATAGAGGTCTAGGAAGCACAGAGAGTCCCAAACAAGTTGGACCTGAAGAGGACTACAACAAGATACCTCATAATTAAAATGCAAAAGTTAAAGATAAAGAGAGAATCTTAAAAGCAGCAAAAGAAAAGCAGAGAGTTACCTACAAAGGATTACCCTACAAAGGAGTTCCCATAAGACTATCAGCTGAGTTCTCAAAAGAAACCTTGCAGGCAGTATCTCACAAGAATTCAAAACAATGAAAAGTAAGGCTCTACAACCTAGACTACTTTATCCAGCAAAGCTATCATTTAGAATGGAAGGACAGATAAAGTGCTTCCCAGACAAGGAAAAGCTAAAGGAGTTCATCATCACCAAGCTATTATTACATGAAGAGTTAAAGGGACTTAAGAAAAAGAAGATCAAAACTATGAGCATTAAAAAGGCAACAAATTCACAGTTATCAACAACTGAATCTAAACACCAAACTAAACAATCAGAACAGGAAATGAATAATAGATATGGAGATCATTTGACAATTATCAGCTGGGAGGGGAAAGGGAGACAATGGGAGAAAAGGTGCAGTGATTAAAAAGCATAATTGGTAGGTACAAAATAAACAGGAGGGTGTCAAGAATAGTATAAGAAATGGAGAAGCCAAAGAACTTACATGCACGACCCATGGAAAGATCACTGGAGGACAGGGGGGTGCTGGGTAGAGGGGGTAATGGGGGAAAAATTGGGACAACTGTAATAACATAATCAATAAAATATACTTAAAAATGAAAAAAAAACATGGAGAGAAAAAAGTTTTGTGAAAAAGAATGAAAAAGTTGAAAGAATTAAGGAAAAAAAAAAATCTCATAGACAAGAGCATGGTTATTACCAGAGGGAAAGTGAGGTTGAAGAGGGTAAGGGGGAGGACAGTAAATTCTGATGGAAGGAGGAATGATTTGGGGTACTGAGCACATGTTACAATAGATAGGTGATGTATTATATAATTGTACCCCTGAAACCTATATAATTTTATTAACCAATGTCAACCCAATACATTTAATTTTTTTTAAATGTTGAAGTTTTATGAAAGACACAAATCTTAGAATACTATATGATCCATATCCTCAATCACCTGCTTTCTCATAAAAAGAAATGAAATTTGAAAAGAAATAGTTGCAGTTCCAAGGAGAGAATAGAAAAAACTGTAAGTTAGTGGTTATCAAATTTTTAAGTTGACATCCAAAATTTTCCTTATATATTTAAATAACTGCAAGATAAAATTTTTCAAAATATAGTATGTATTGATATTTGAAAATTACTGTGCTATATTTATCCAATGGAATTTAAATATCATGGTAATTTATTGCTCATCACAATTAAAAATATATAAATATGTTTATATATGAACTCTTAGAATTTTTATTGCATTCTTTTTTATTCTCATAGTTCTGTTTCCTTAAAAGGATTTTATTCCAAAGTAATAAATATATGACTTAAAATATTTTTGGTGATTCTATTATAAGTTTCTGCAAGAAAAATATCATAATTTGAATTCAAATTTTAAAAAATGTTCTATGTCTACAAAAGTCAAAATATTTAACCTTTTTGGGGGGTTGAGTTAGCATGTATGATTATTAGTAGTGCACAATTGATAGAAGAAAAAGATCAGTATTACAAATTTTGATAAAATGACTCATTTTTAAGCAGCTATTTTAGAAACTTACCTTAATGAGAATTAAATATTAATGAATAGATTTTCTTATTACTAAAGTGAAATAGTGTTCAGCATAAATTCTATTATTACTTTTTGCTATTATAAACTTATTGCAAATCATGTTTTCATAGGTAAGTAAATAGGAATGGAAGGACCAATGTTATTCAGCTCTATGATTATTTTTAATTTATAGCCAAAAAGCATATAAAAATTCATCATCAAACTAATTTTTAATAATGTGTCAGCTAAAAACTCATTCGGGCCCTTTAATTTTGTTGAAATTAAAATAAAGACTTGTATTGTGAAAGGATTTGTTATCATTCCCTCACTTAGTTTCCAGGTAGCATACTAAAAAGGCTTCACCAAGACTTAATAAAAGACTATTAGTTATTTTGTTCAATCTTTCATTTAGAGGCAACTTGCTTGACCTGATATACTCAGAAAGGACTGAGAGAATTAAAATATTATTAATTTTATGCATTTTTATATATAATAAAATTTTTCTATTTTTATCACATGCTGTATTTACATCAAACCATCAGAGCCCAGATTTAGTGTGTTAGCTTGTTCAATTCATAGTGATAACATAATGGGCAAGTTTAATCCTCATTGTCAAATTAATTTACCAGATCAACTTACCTCTCTCTGAGCTGATTTTTTGCTTCCAATAAGTACTTTAATATTCATTCCTATGACAGCCATCTCATGTGTGAACTGTAGTGCTTCTACAGGGAAACATAGATACGAGCCATGGATACCTGCCATGAGTCTATCATCTCCATTCCAGACAGTTGCTTTATTTTCTTTACTTTTACTGGCCTTTCCCTCAGGAAGGATGTACTTTCAAAACAAGTAGGTAAGGTCTGCTAAACAAAAGTGGTCCTTATACTGGCCTACAATGTCTGAATTCAAAATATCAGGCCAAAATACCCTATTTCTTATAAGCCACCTATAAGCTTCACGGGTAAAATTATTTCCAAGTACCTCTTTGTTTGGTATCTCTGAAGTTTAACACTCTAAGGTACCATGCTGAGAGTCAGGATGCAATTAGTACTGTACATGTCTTTTGTAAAGTGGGAGAAGGATAATTATGAAAGAGATGTTGGAGACAACTGGCCTAATGCTCAACTTCAGGCATGAAAGCCTACATTTTTGTCCATGAGTAAAAAGAATATGCCCAACTTTGAAAATAGTTATTGTAAATTATTCACAAAGTAAATGCTGGGGTGGCTTTGGGAGGAAGGAAAAAATGAAACTTAGAGGATCAGCCCAGAAGACACAGCATCCAAACAACAGTATTTCAACAGAAGAAAATCAAAACGGAAAGAAATTATCAAAAATATATTATATCAGAATTTTGTTGAACTGATGAACAAGACTTGAGATTGAAAGTTCATCATGTGCCAAACATAAACAAAACCCAAAATTTCATCATGAAACTTCAGAACACCAGAGATTCAGAGTACATATAAAAGCACGCAGAAAGGAAAGAGCAGCCATATGCAAAGGAACAAGATTCACAGCAGCGTGCAATAACTGGACAGCAACCGTGGAAGCTAAAAAACCATGGAGCAATGACTAAAAATTCTGAAAGAAAATGTTTTTCAACCTAGAATTGTGTCTCTAGACATACTATCAATTGAATGTTTAAGTAGAACTAGGTGTATTTCCAAACATGCAAACACAAAATTTTACCTCTTCTGCACCTTTTCTTGTGAAATAAT